CATCAGCAACCTTAGTCTCAGCGGGAGGTCCTGCTGAAATCTGTACAAGCAAAGGTGGTACAAGCTGTACAGAGTATCAAATTACCAAGGACTGTTGTGCGGCAGTTGATCAAAACACTCGCTTCGATGAGGTCTTTACTCAATGTATTCCACTTCTTGCTAACGGTATAAACACTGGTGGTATGGTTGAATGTTGTGAAAGCAGAGGTGCTGGAAGTGCTGAAGTAAAAATCGGCGCGGATAAGCTTGTATGTAGTCGTTAAGCAACAAGTGAAGCATATAAGGATTGGACTTAGACTTTAGACTGTTTGTTTCATAATCTATAAATTCGATATGATTACCTTGCTTTATTGACACTTACAATGTCTGGATGTGACATGTGAGAATTTTCAGATCGAGAAATCCAGAAGGGTGGGTTCATGAGAGTGTGTCAACCAATTTATGCTGTTAATAAATACTGTAAAGCAACCTTTCACGCGAAGCACCATAGGTTACATTACATTAGGGTGCACTCAAGGTTATTAGCGCAGGTTTTGTATGCCTTGTATATTTCAGTCTCGGAAATATTTCAACCTATTGCCGTGTTTATTTGTTGTATTATTGATAGTTATGACATCTTTTTACTGCAAACTACTTCTTGATGTACAATCTTAACCGTCTGTGTATAAAAGACCAATGAGGGAAATATCTCTACTCAATCTTCTCAAAGGACTGCTATGTACTTGATGAGAGTTAATTGAATCTTTATCAGACCATATCAATTCTAAAATCTCATGTAGTTTTGTATATATTGAGCGAATGATGTTCTCAGATGTTGAAGCATTAAAGCATGTAGTTCCGGAAATGATAGCTTTATATATCGTACATTTTTATAGTTCGCTTTTATTATGCTCAATTCACTAGATTTCAATAATGACGTAGATTTTTCCTATTACCGGTATGGCAGCTATATCCAAAATCAATAACCTAGAATGAGAAAACGTAATAATCTAAAATTATTACAATCACGTGAAGTTTTATCTTAGGAAGAAAATCCTTGTCCGATTTTCAGTCAGCTGTCCGATACTGGTCGGAATAGCCTTTATATAAGACTGGACTTCTTTTTTAATAACTATCAACTAAACAATACAAAAATGTCAACTTCAAACCAACCACTTCGTTTCGGTGTCCTTGGAATTGGACGTATGGGAATTAGACACGCTTTAAACGTACGTAGATCAGAACACGGTACTTTCGTTTTGTTCACAGTTGCTAGTACAGGTCGTAAATGAACCTCGAGCACAGCTTGTAGCAGTCGCAGATCCACGTAAAGATGTCCTCGAAGCATCAAAAGAGATCCTAGGTGAAAATGTTAAGTGGGTGCATATCTAAGCTAATATGGCACTCTTTGACCTATGATAGGCGCTTTATTTCTGAAGAAGACGTTATCAATGACCCGTCTATCCAAGCTATCTTGGTAGCTAGTGACACCACCCAACATCCAATTTTGGCTCTTAAAGCGATCAAGGCAGGCAAGCACTTGCTTCTTGAAAAGCCTATCGCCGTAAACCTCGATGATGCAGCTCCAGTTGTCGCTGAAGCCAAGAGAAACCCACATTTGAAAATTTTGGTCGGTATGTCTCGTCGTTTCGATGATAGCTACAGGGAAGCATTCAACAGAATCCAGTCTGGCGAACTTGGTGATGTATTCCATTACTATGGTGTCACTAATGACCAGTACAATGCCGAAATTGTCGATTTCTTCGTCGGTTACTCGAAAGTTAGCGGATCCATCCTCGTTGATTGTGGTATCCACGATGTAGACTTGATGAGATGGTACATGGGTCCAAATGAGAAGGTCAAGAAGGTCTACGCAGCTGGATACAATGCAAGAATGCACAGATTGAAAGAATCAAGAGATGCTGACAATTCAGTCGCCACTATTGTCTTCGAAAGTGGTAAGCTCGCCAATATTTACCTTTCAAGAACCGCAATTCATGGTCATGAGTGCTGGGCACAAATTACGGGTGAAAATGGTATGATCAAGGTGAACACTGACAATGCAATGAACAGAGTTACATTAGCAGACGAACACGGATACCGTAAGCTCACCACACAAGATTACTATGATAGATTTAGAGGCGCTTTTGCTAATGAGATGAGAGAATTCACCAGTGCAGTCCTCGACAACACACCTCTCCCCCTCAACATCGATGATGCGTTTGAAGCTAGCAAGATCTGTGTTGGTCTGCAAATGGCCTTCAGATCAGATGAACAGATCTTCTTTGACAAGAATGGTTATCCAATCCCACCGAAAGGAATCGCCCCATCTAGACTTTGAGCATGTATTTTGTACTTTTCAATAGATTCGTCTTACTAAAGTTTTAAGATATAAAGCCTGCTCGTTTGTTGATGTTAACTAGTAACATGAATGGTGTTCAATGGTGTTTGATACATCTTCGATTTGATATCATAATGAAAAATGCCAAATAGATATTATGTATATTACTTATAGATTGATTGAAAGGGTGTTTTCTGCTAAGATTATGCTAATGATGCTAAAGACCTATTGATCTGCACTTGTCTAACTCCTGCTGATTTGGTGATGAAATTGATCTCAGGAAGGGAGGCTTGACATCTTCAGACATCGAATTCGATGACCGTTGGTGTAAAGATTGCTGTCCGCTGAAAGTGAGCAGATTCGTGCGACGCCCATTGTTATCAGTAGAGCTATGCTTGTATGGGATCGGAGTAGTGTACGAGCTGCTTGAAGACGTTACAACGGTGTATGCTGGCGATGCACTACCATGTATCGACCACTGACCAGTGCTAGTAATGATAGATGGTGGTGGTGTCAATGTGTAACTTTCTTTCATGTTGTTATATTCGCCTACTTTGCCATAAGCACATACACGCCTGTAGTCCACTGATCTGATATTAAACCATTTCGTGAATCTTCTGAGTAAATCCTTAGCAGTCGTCTCTGACATTGTCTTGATATGAAGAATACAGCGACAGTCCAGCGGTTTCGTTGTGAAACTCTGGATTATCCTAAGACGGCGCTCATTATGTAGGTACAGCAATATGAATAGCTCATCTGCCCAGCGCGTCACTATATGACGTTGATCTATCATACTCAAATCAATACGCTGCCTTTTATTGACGCATAAAAAATCCTGATCGTCAATATACGAACTTAAAAATTCCTTACCTGGAGGAATTGCTATCTTTGGTAATTGGTGCATCTGTTTAATGACAGTAACAAACAAACGTGCTCAAAATTTGCCCTCGAAATTGATGATCTAGAGCCCAAATCCATTAAGTTTGAACCTTAGTTTCCAAGCACGTGGTATATTCCTTGATTAATTATACAGATATGTTTCAATGTATCTTTGATGTTTAGATGCTCGCGCTCGGCTTATTATTACCTCGAAATTGTGACAGCTCTGGTTTCGACACGTTAAGCTATTTTATACTTTTAGATATATTGGTAATTAAGACCTTCTTGTAGATTACTTTGCAGTTTTACAAGTTGAAGACTATATATAGGGAGCAGTAAATCCATCATCCCCACTTCTTTCATTCTGAGGGACGAATACCCGAAGGCACAGTACACAATTCAAGCACACTGCTTCAAGTAACGGACTTTAGTTACTTAATTGCTTATAAGTGCATAGGAATAAGTCGTGCCTGTCGTACACGTCATACATTGCAAAACCTTCACCTCTAGAAAATGACGGCATCTCTTAACTAATAATACACTATCTATTTGTGCTTCGTGTATCGCAGTACAACAACCATTTGATTTTACTTGCATTTAATGCGTTCGTCATCATATCATTGTCTGATTCGATGATTTTCATTGCGTATCGGTATCAAAACGCTTTGCTCTGCCAAACTTTTAGCTAAAGGGGTTGATTGAGCCATACCTGGGAAATCTTTTGGTGTGTACACGCGTATAGGGTTTGATATCGCTTCTGCAAGTGTTGGTAACTCTCCAAGAAGTATTGGTAACGAGTAAACTGAAGTCAGTGTAAATTTGAGCTGGTATACGCCTGTCGTTGTGAACGACAAATCGCTAAAATGGAAGAAGCTGCCTGAGTCGTGTACTTCTGTTCTCGTACAATAATGAGCTGATGATGTAAGAAGACCTTGTAATATTTGAGACTGTTGGAGCGGTGTGCTCAGAGGGGTGTGAGTGGCTAAACTACTATGTACAACCCAATAAGGTGAACGTAATGCACTTAGACGCGTTAAATTTATAGAAGATGAACTATAAAAACCTACTCATCATCCAATCTACCATATCTATCGTATATCTTCAATTGGAGAATGGGTGGTGGATCTACACACCTCCGCTCCTTGTCATTTAACATAGATCTCCTAGAAACCTCAGGCTGTTGTAATATTATCAATTCATACCGTCTCGGTTCTTTCTCAATTGAAAGCATTTCATTGATACTGATATCTAATTTACGCATATGCGACTATTTTGAGCGCAGAAGCAGCTTCAGTAGTTGTACTCCTTGTATTATATACAGTAAACTAAAACGCCTCTCGCTCACTCTTACGTCTTCGATCGTGAAGAAGAAGTTTAGCGAGATTGGAGCAAAGCAACCGACTTATCAGTACACAAATAATACCCACTTCACGTGTTCAGGACATCATAACTAATAGAAGAATTTCACAACCGCCTAATTGCTTGCTTTAGCAAGGATATTAGTCAAACAGAATAGGAGATAGTTAAAGGGCTCAATAGGTAATTGTGTTGACGTTCACGCTATCAAATATACTTGATAGAGCTTATCAAAGGTTATGGGCGCCAATGTGAACTCTTCAAAGTTTGAAATGCAATGTTGGAGACTGTTTCAAAGCCATATCGTGAATAAGTCAGCAAATCTAAAAGAAATACCTAGTACTGAGGATTACAGACCATAATGCATAGCTTTGATGTTCGATTTTGCTTTCCAGTCATCACTTCGTGTTTTACAGGATAATTGAAAATACTGAGTAATTTAAGGTCACTAGAGTTGCATTATAAATAACCAAGTCACCATCTCATGATTCTATCTATGATTGCCTGTTATTGAAAACTTCGTGTTGGACCCTAAATACTGGAATGAAATACAGCAATGATCTGATCGGGACCAACTCCTAATCTATTATTATAATCAAAGTAATGCGTAACTACATTCATTACTGTTCTTCAACTTCTACTAATCTTTACTCAAAAGTTGTCTCAGTGATTTTTTATCTGTAAATTTAATTGATATAACATCGTATTAGTCTTTATAATAAAGCTTCGCCATCCTGGTTAATTGTTTTAAGTTAGGGTTTCAAAATTTGGGGATCGACTGGTTGTCACCCCTTAAGATGATGAAATTGCCGTTCGACTCACCAAATTTTAACCGGATTTAAGTGCGACACTATTATTAATCGATTCTACCATTGGCTTATAACCCAATAATGTTCATAGTAAGCAATGCGTAGACACCTTTGCAACTTACGTGTAAACATTTACACGTTCTACTTAAATACAAAGGTCCATTTAATTAATGAAGAGCACGATGTGGTGAATAGTGTGTTGAGATTATGTGAATGTTTCTAGTTCAGTTATTCATCAACAATACACAGTGTAATCTCAAAGTATGGCTAAAACAACATCCGAATAGTCGTCGTCTTAGCGATCAAGCGAGGGCTTCTGCCAATCTGCAAGCCTTGAATATCATAATAATGGTATAAAGGATTGTCTACAAAACATATTAAAGAATATTCTCAGGCTTAAGCACATACTTGAACATTAGAATATTTCCGTATTTTCCCGTACGAGGTCTCAAATACAAATATATCTTTAGAGAGCTACTTATCTGAACGAAATGATACAAAATCAGCGTAGACAGTAGTGAGCGCTATTACTTTTTACCTTCACACAGAGAATCCTATGGTAGATAAAGATGATCGACATGCGCGCCCATGTTATTTCGACGCGAAAGTTGGAACATAGCGGAGTATCTAGCATAGTATACGATTATTAGGCGCTTAGAATACAGTAGGTTACTTTGCATTCCGTATAATAAACGAAAAAACTTTTACTTGACGTCCGAATATTTGATGAGATCACAGTAAAATCCATACTTTGCACTAGCGGTCTTAAATAGAAAAACTGTCAGCTAGTTAAAATGCGAATGCTGATTCTACATGATGAATACATATTAAGTATACCACGACATCACTTCTGTTCATTAAATCATTAAATAAGCATTATTGGATATAATTAGTTCTAATTTCAGCGATTACGATAATCCATATTCCTTATGGATAGCCCAACGCTGTGTTCCGCTAGACTTTTCGCTAATTCTGATGATGCTTATGAATGTTAATCAAGAGTTTTATGAAATTGAAACACGCACCTGACATACCAGGGAAGTCTTTCGGTAAAGATGCCCTGATAGGTTTTGAAAATGATTCAGCAAGTACAGGTAGCTCATTTGCTGTACCAGGAAAAGCATATACAGTGGTGAGAATATATTTGAGATGATAAACGCCCGGTTCTGTAATAGCAAGATCACTGTGAGTGAATTTAACATTCGTCTAGAATTTAGCAACTTGCACACCTGAAGTAAAAGTAACACCCTGCGCTATGTGCGAAGCCATTTGTAACATACGACGCTGATGATGTTAGCTGTCCTTGTAGCAACTGGGAAGCTGGTTTGTCGTAATTTCCTTGTAATAAGGCCTGTACAACCCAGTATGGTGACCTTAGGGCGCTATAAAGATGAGAAACGAAAGCAAACAGCGCATAATATTTACCTATCATCTATTAAGCCTTTTTTATCATATATCTTGAGTTGTAGAATCGTAGGTGGGTCTACAACACGTCTATCTCTCTCGGTAGACGATGAAGCTCTAGCGATCTCTGGGTGCTGTAGAACAATTAGCTCATATCTTCTCGGTTCTCTTTCTGGCGATAGCAATTCATTCACGTCCACACTCTCCTTCTGTCGTCTTGATGGACACATTTCAAGAAGCTATGATAACAGAACAGAAATGCTCTATATGTAAGATAGATTTACGCGTATACGACGGCATATAGCGGATTTGCCACTTACGCTGATCGGTATATAAGTTCTGGATGCATCGACACATCTCTCCGGTGTGCCATGAAGTGGCGACAGTTCAACATACATAAAATCCCGACTAGCTTCATTATATTGCGAGCTGCAAGATTATACCACAGGGTCATCATTCTCTAATAATTGCAACATCTCGGATAAGCTCAGCATCCGCATGGCCACCCAACCACTAACTCAGCGATATATTTAGCTATCAGGGGAGATTCAACGTGCTACCATTATGGGGATATGCGTCGTTGAGCTCCAAGTTGTTTTCGATCTCTATACAAACGCAACCTATAACTGTCGTCTCGCATGGCATACAGATTATATCTAAGTAGGAGGCTATACTTACGTGTTTTATACTATATTGATATCGCTTGAAACGCATAAGATTTGCCTTCATTTCTTGATATCAAAAACATCATTGTTATATCACTCCCTAGAACACAGGAGGAACTCATTTAATGCCCTTTCAGTAGGCAACTATATATATCAGAGACGGTGCCGTCCAATAGTATTACTGTTGAGCAAAGGATATATTGCTACCAAGGTATTCCCGTCATTATACCTCGAACAGGAGATAGAATAAAATTAGCATAACACGAAGCCATATTTCGCATTAGGTATAGAAATTGCATTGCATATAAATAGTTACGCTATTAAAAGCTTTGTAATCATTGTTGAGCTTGGGTATTTGACAGATTTGCTGTATAATACATGATACAGCTCATTTGGAGCTTTCCTATATATTTCAACAGAAACGAAAAGCTGAAGTCAAGTGTCATTATGGTGATTATTCAATCTAATTGTCGGATCCTATCCATTGTGCAACTTTAGATCTATACATAGAGTGATTGCTAGGGTAATTCAAGTTTGACCTTCCAATACAAGTATTCAAGAGATGTCAAATACACTGAAACTGATGTTCTACACTTCTTGCTTTAGTTATTTGTCATTTTACGAGGTGGTGGTTAAAACAAACGTGTAAGTTTCGACGGCACAGAGAGATAACAGGCGATCTAGGCAACTGTTACTACAAATAAGGATGTAATTGCATTCTATACTCATAAGTTGCAGTTAGGCAATCAAAGATGATTTACGCATTACTATTAATGTTTAATCTCTCACCTCCACCACGAATTGAAATCGGAATGCAATCACAATAACTTCAAAATGGCTATAAATGATTAGAGACAGTATTTTCAGAGATCTAATTTCAAAGAACTGATTGTAAAACCACCTAAATTTATCATATTGCGTGGTTAAGTCTTCGTTTCAAGTAAGTTACTAAATTTTAGAGAAACTATACTTTTTCAAATGAAATAAAATGCATCATATTTCATGATACCAACTTTTCAGAGCAGTTAATTTGAGTAAAATTTGCAAGATACACCCTAGGTTGATGGTCGGAATACTGCTTCTTGTCATGAACTACATCCGCTTTAGAGATGTCGGTCCTTAGACTATGAGAAAGGTAATAAGAAGGACATACTGCCAACCGATGGGACTTTCTGAATCGCATGAGATGTTTCTAAGTTCACTCCATTCATTGTGATATCGTGAAATTGACGACTATTTATTCAAATTGATATGATTACGCAACGATGCGTGTCAATATATAGTTCAACACTCTGATAGTCTCAACGTTACCACCACTCAAAAGAATTAGAAGTATTTTGTAAACTAAAGAAAAGGAAAGATTGGCATTCGTGTCAATTAACATGAATTGTAACTGCACATTTGCATCTCTCGGGTCACTAGAAGTGATTACAGACCAACCTAGCGATACCTATATGAAAATATCAACGTAAGGATATATATGCATACTGAGCAGCTCCTCGAAGAGAAGTCTCCTTACACACTTAAGAGATACCTAAGTTGTTACAAACGTATTTTCCACTCATCGCATTTATTCAATTATGCAGTGTATCTTCTAATTAATGACATTAATCTATAAAAATCTACGAGCGAGAGCTGTTGTACATCCAAAAATTAAGGCAGCAGTGGCCCACTTCTTGACCTTACCGGTGCGTACAGCTACTGCAATTTTACCCAATATGCGAAGTCTCATTTTGAGTTTTTCAATACCGTACATTCTGATGATTGGGTGAGGTATAGTACTGTGAAAGGTTAGATATGAGTGATATTTTAATGGTACCTACGATAATCCGGTCTCATCGACGATTACACTGGCAGGCGTGGATTGCATAGTTGCTGCAACGAGGATTGCATGCCTCCGTGAGAATTTTTCATTTTCTACACCGGTGAGGTCGTACTTTTCAGCGGTAGCGAGTGTATCTTTGTCGAGTGCCTGCTTTGGATTGATGATATTGGATCTCCAGCCTTCTGAAACACCTGAGGTGAACATAGCGTGAGTACATGAGAAATTCTATGAATGTTAGAGATAGATTGAAAATAAACACATTACTCACAGGCTCCAGTGAAGCATGCAAAATCGCGTTTTCGATGTCTACAGGTCCAGCGTCACCATCACCATCGAAAACAATAGCCTTATCATTGCTTGGATTCTTTCTCAAAGCATTAGCACCAGTATGTACAGTGTAGAGAATTCCATATACGTTGTTGTTCACGATAGACAAATCTGGTTTTTGACCTAATGACTTTAGGCGGACTGTCTATGAATTGAATCTACTTACTCGTAGGAGTTTTGTTCTCAATACTAAATATGTTCTGTGCTTCTCTACGTGTTGAGTTCGCTACGATTATATCAACGTTACCGAGATATTTCAGAGCGTTGTCAAAGAAGGATGCGAGTTGTCCGAAATCACTGACGTTGAGTTGACTAGTTTTAACGTTATCAATCCCTTGGAATTTCTGCGCTGATTCCTCGCTTTCACATCCTACGAGAATTCTCGCACTGTCGTTATAAGCTAAAGTGCTTCAAAATTCACGATGATACTCACCCATTTCTTGCGTATTCTACAACGGCTTCGACATCTTTAGATGATGTGAAAACAATTCCTTTATCTTTTATTGATTTCAACAAAGTTTGATAATCTGACATTTGGCCGTTGATGATCGAGGTACTACTGCTAATAACCGGTGGCAGGCACCAACAGAATTTTCATATGAAATACAACCATCGGCTAATTAGATGTAGGTAGGCTTTGTTTTCTTCCTTTGTTTTACAACACGGATTGTGATAATGTAATGAAAAAATGCATGTAACACTATTTATTAGTCTATACGTTAATTATTGTAATGACGATAATTCACTTCCTAGCATAGTCTGATTTATTACGTATCTTCTTTCCAAATCGATGGAACAGTACAGGGAAAGGCATCAACGCACATCCGATGAGGGCAAGAAGAGTACCACTCCAACTTATAGTCAACCTATCGAACATCTGCAAAGCAAATAGGGGGAATACGGCACCAAAAATCGATCTAACGACGGTATTTGCTGCCAAGGCGCTACTTGCATACAGAGTGTAGGCATCCGAAACATACGAAAGCAAAGAAATGAAGATAAGAACGACACCAGCACCTAGGACAACGCCAGCTGCGCAGGGTGCGAGCCAGTGTGTCCTGCCCGCCGTCCACGCAAACCAGAACAATCCGATAGCGAAGCATGGCCCGCCAATGAAAATTGCCGGTAAGAAACGTATCTCCGGATCAGGCCTTTGACCCGTCTCGCGGATACTCTTCTTGGCTATACGCAAATATCGCTTATCGAAAAGCAAATTAACGACGTAAGAAATCAACAATCCTATAGCCACCGAACAGAACGTCAGGCCTGATTGCCAGACGGTGAACTGATAATCTCCGCGGAAGACATACGGAAACATTTCGAACGAAAGGTAAAGAACACCATATACGACACCAATATATAGCGACGTAATTATCAGGATTGGTTCGCGTACTAACATCCTAAAGGGCCTCTGCCATGCTATTTTGAGCTGCTGCTTGAATGGTGGTGCATTTAACTCGCTAAATGTGTGATAGCGCTTGTCGCCTGTCTCTTTTCGAAGCTTTTTGGCTTTCTTTATAAGTATCACCTGTGTCATTGTCTCAGGGAAACTAAATATAACACCTATGAGGCAGCATCCACCAAAAACCATTTGCGACCAGTAGATCCACTTATAATCACTGGCGTAGTCAACAATAAAACCAGATGCAATAGGTCCTAAAACAGGTCCTGCAAATGGACACATACTGTAGTATAATTAGAATACGCAGGTATCATTTAAGTTATATACCCACCTGTAGAGCGCCATTGGACGACCACGTCTGATAGGTTCCCAGATATCAGCAAGTACACCACCTGAGGTAACCATGGAAGCTGCGGCAGCACAACCGCATATGAATCTGCATATAATTAAGCAGGTAACATTAGGTGCGAGTGCGCAGGGTATATTGAAAACAATAAACAAAACGAGATAAGAGATGTACGTCAACTTCCGACCGACAAGCTCGCCAATTACAGCCCACAGAAGTGGTCCGAAGACATATCCTGCGAGAAATAGTGATACAGTAAGTACGACGACTTCTTGTACCTGGTTGTATTCCTCGCCAATTAGCGAGAAGGCACTTGAGACGACTGAACTTGAATACGTCGCGTTGAGGATCTGCATACCAGCGAGGAGCGTAATATACCACTTATATGCTGTTGATAACTTCTTTGGATCGTCGCCATCGTCCAGCTCGACGAGAAATTTGTCTTCCTCCGCCTTCTCAAGCTCACGATTAAGTTCGTTCGGTGATACGTTAGTATAGTATCCTTTACCTAGATGCTCTGCTTCCTTCAAAGTGTTTACATCTTGCCGAGCATTTCCCCATAAAGACTTCTCGTCGCCTTGGCTTACCGGGTGGGTGGTATTCGGCTCATTCAAAGTGCTAGCAGTACTCATAGAATTTTACGAGAACTACGAAGTGAACTTTCGATGCTTATTGTATGAAGGATACCCTAGTACCGGTTATATTTTTTTACATGTCTAGCAAGGTCCGTAATCAGTTTTCCTTAGAAACTACATATAACAGTCATCAACATTTATGGATGAATTGATTTTAGCAATGAACATCTCACGACTATATTTAGTATCTTCAAACATTCCAGCCGGTAAGATTTATATTTTACGTGCGAAAATGGCGAAGTTTACATATGTTGCCAAAAACTAATTAATAAATTTACAAATCAAAACGATGAATATTAAAGAGCCATAATTTTACTTGCCAGATTGTGGTGGATATGGTTGATCCGGGAATGGTACAGATGGCAAGTTCATCGGTGGCATTGCCGGTTGCATCGCTTGTCCATTTGGAGCTTGCGGAACCTGCTGTGGTGGAAGTTGATGTGGTACTTGAGTTCCTTGTGCTGGGGCTGGCGTTGGTGTTTGACCGTACATTTGTGGAGTCACCTGCTGCTGATATGGGTTCGGTGTGAGTACGGATGGTGTAACACCAGGTCCCATTGGTGGTGGACCGACCGCTTTTGATCTCTTTGATGAAGTTGATGAAGGCGAAAGTGATGGATTTGCGCGTTTCTTTGTGTTAGCTACCAATTCACCCTCTTTGTGATCTGCAGGATATGCCGATGGGTGGGCATGTTTACCCTCATATAAACCAGCTTCTTTCAGTACCAACGAAATAAGCGTTTGACATCTTCTTGAAATCTCTGCTGGTGTTCTTGATTTAAAGAACCAGTCCATTCTGAATGCAGGATGATCGAGGATATCTCTTTTGATTCTATCGAAAGTATCGTCAGAGTGAAGCCCATGATGAGACAATCGAACGAGTAAGAATCTATCTTCCTCTTCAGTATATTGTTTGCCCTAATTATTGTGTTATTAAAGTATTCAGAATAACTGAAATCCTACTCACCCTTTGTTGAGGACCATATGGAATAGTTAACATTTGCAATGGGTATTTACAACCATTTACTTTAGCTTTGATTGCACGAGTCTTTGTTACAGTAGCTTCGAGTGTCTTTTCACCCTCTTCTATACGTGATATCATTCTCTGATAATCTTGTACCTCTGTGTAACGTTTCCACCAAACGTCAAGATATTCGGCTACTTCTTCTTCAGTTTTACCATCACCAACTACTGATTTGATACCCTTTATATCGTTTCTGCCGTACTGCTCCATACCTCTTACAACAGCTTGGAATTCTCTGCGTGTCCAATTCGTGAAACCTTGGTCGCTCATTGATTCCATATCCTTGTGTTCTTCTTCAGTAAGTGGCGTAGCATTGTCAATCTCCTCTTGCTCCTTCTTAGCATCAAGTTTGGCTTGTTCGACAAGTTGTGGATTCTCCTCAGCCTTCTTAGGGTCAATAGTACGAGGGAGTGCTTCCCATCCATCCATCTTTTTCTTGTAGTTGTCATCGCGTCTGGCAAGTTCAAGAAGCCTGACCGGGTAGAAGTGGTAATCTTGGAACTTGTGGGTCGAAGGTGGTGGCTTGTTTGATCTCGTGCGACCTTGAGGATTTGGTTTCATTGCACCCTTGTAGTAATCATCAATTGAATAATTTTGTTTACGTTCTCTCTTTCCTGGTTCAATCCAAATTGGTTGCTTTGCTTTTGGATTAACGCCAGTGAAATTGATCTCGGATTTAAAGTTGTTAAGGTCATCAAGGTTTAATCCTTCATACTTTGACGCCATATCTGCTGTCTTCGTCTCACCAAGCTTGATAATTTCATCAATGTCATTATCAACAATCTCTCTTGCTTGATTATTTATAATCTTTTCTGCACCATGTTGAATCATATCAGTGAGTTCATCTTTACCCGCATTCTTTTGTTGAGTTTGACGACCTTGTTGAATGACTAATTGATCAAGACGGAGTTTTTGAGCAGCACGTTCAAGGATGCGCTCTTCGACGGCATCTTCTGTTACGAATCTGAATACGTAGACTTGCTTCTTTTGACCAATTCTATGGGCTCTATCCATAGCTTGTAAATCAGCTTGTGGATTCCAATCACTATCGTAGAGAACGACGATGTCAGCAGTGTTGAGTGTGATACCAAGACCACCAGCTCTTGTCGTGAGTAAGAAAATGTATTTCTCTGATCCCTCCTTGTTGTACTCATCTATCGCGGAGATACGATCATCGTGTGATGTTTGACCGTCGATTCTACAGTATTGATAATCTCTGAACATACAGTAATCTTCGAGAATATCCAACACTCTTGACATTTGTGAGAAAATCAGCACTCTTGATCCTTTTGCTTTCATAGATTTAAGAAGTTTGTCAAGAATAAGCATCTTTCCGGAGTTAAAGACGAGATGCTCATCAGTTGTGTATGGTGGACCAGGTTCAGCGCCATCGAAAAGGTACGGGTGGTTGCAACATTTACGCAATTGCATAACGATATTAAGAAGTCTAGTTTTACCTTCCTTCTTACTTGATCCCATACCATTAACAAGATCAATATCTTTCTCAATGATACCTTTATACCACTTTCTTTGCATGTCCGTCAAGCCAACATACAAATTAATCTCTTTCTTTGGAAGGAGTGACTTTTCGACATCTGCTTTAACTCTACGCAACAAAAACGGTCTGAGGACCTTGTGCAATTGTTTGACAACTTCGTCGGAATTTTCCTTACCATCTCGATTATTAGTAAACCAGTCATCAAAATCTTCAGCAGATGAGAAAACATCTGGAAGCAAGAAGTTAAGAAGAGCCCAGAGTTCTTGAAGATTGTTCTGAAGGGGTGTACCAGTAATGAGAAGTCGATTGCGCGAGTTGAAAATTCTAACGATTTGTGACAGTAAAGAGTTGGCATTTTTGATACGATGAGCTTCATCGATAATGATGTACTCCCAACTGAGTCTTTTTATGGCTGACTTCTCACGGAGGCAAATCTCATAAGAAGCAATAAGCACATCAAAATCGCCAGGAAGGATACTCTCTTTGACTATTTTTTCACGCTCTTCTTTGTTACCCTGGAGGACGACTACTTTAAAGTCTGGACACCACTTTGTGAACTCCCTAGCCCAATTGTCAAGTGTTGATTTTGGTACACAGACGAGGTGGTAGCCTGAAATGTCCTTGAAGTGTTTGAGGTAAGCCAAGAAAGATATTGTTTGAAGCGTTTTACCGAGACCCTATGGATTGTCAGAAGAGAGTTTTTGTGTTAATACAAAACGGACCATTTCGTCTGCTAAAATACCGTTTATACCGTTGTGATGCAAACCAATCATCCAATTCAAACCCTGTACTTGGTAATCACGCATCTGACAATTCTGTATGACTGTTGGGTGTGTTAATAGCGTTAAGATAGATTGCAAAATTGACTGACAAGCTGGTGTCTCAGTGAATGCGAATGGCTCGTCGTCTTCCTCTTTAAGCAATTCTTCATCTTCCTCTTTTTCTGACTTTCTATGTCTGCCCTCTGACTTTTTTGATTTCTTTTTCCCGGTTTGCGCCTCTGATTGTTCGATCATCGCGGCGAAAGCTGGATCACGAGCTTTCTAAGGTGGGTTAGAAGGTTTAAAGTGAAGATACAGCTAGCAAACTTACTCTGCGATCAATAAAGTGCTTAAATAAGTCCGTCTGCCCAATCAAATAAGAGAAACGCTTTATTGAATCTACGTTCTTTGATTTCTCGATTTCTTCCTTCTTAGCTTTGTGTTTGGATCTGCGCACAGATTTCTTCGCGTCTTTCGCTGGTGCTTTCTCTTTAGTCACTGGCTTGACGAGCTCACCGTCCGAGTCGTACTCCTCGTCAAGCTCATCCTCGTCATCGTCATCTTCTTCTTCCAATTCGTCAGCATCTTCCTCTGGTATTTTCTCAGCTTTCGGAGACGGTACTTTCGAGTTCACGGTTGATAAGTCTCCGCTCGCTGGGATAGTATCAGAGAGCATTGATTGTTCTCTAGAGTTCGGTTTATCCTGTATATATTAGAATATACTGATGATTTCTTATTATTGAGACTTACTGTCATTTTATACTACGCCGATGGTGGACGTATCCCTCTAACAAATTGAACCGCGTTGTAGCTGATCCTAAGGGCGCCCAATTTTCACTTAGACTCTGGGCCCAAATATGTTTTGAATTGATTTTTACAGGCTTTTTATTATATCCCTTTGTGATCCCCTTACGTAGTCGCTTGTTTATAGTCGAGTTTGCGTGTCAACTCAGCCGTGCAGTTGAGATGACAATTGACAGCTTAGAACATCTCTGATAGGTGTATATATTCTATAATTTACTATATTGTACAACAAAATCTATTTAATTATCATTATAGCACGCTCTTGCGGCGTTCAATAACCTTCCTCATATTCTCAAACATCTCGCCATCCAGACCTTTCTCATTTGTGAGCGTAATCTGGTATGCTTCAGCGAGCTGCTCATTTGATTTCGCTTGTGATATAGCCTGATTGAGTTGTGCTCTATCTTTTTTCCTTATCTGCCCATATTTAGCGAAAGGTGTGAACTGTCCGGTGCAGAACTTTGTAGCTGGGAATATATTCTCTATTGCATGTGCCTATGTCACTATTAATGCTGCCCAGTTTATTCAACATTCCACTCACAACTTGTAACCAATAAGCGCCTATTTTGACAGGGCCATCTTTCGAGAAACATGTTGGGTTAGCCTCTGCGCCACGAGCAATCATGACTGCATTCACCCCTGTCTTTTTCATTATATCCTGTGCCTGTTTGTAATTCGTACCGTCACCATTGCATACAACAGCCACGTCCGGTCTCAGTTTCTCAATAGCTTCACGTATCTCAACCAACCGGTCATGTTGGGCTGGCTCACTTGGACGCATGGATTTTGTCCGGCAATGTATTGTTATAGCTTTTATTGGAGTGCTGCAAATCCGTTCGATGAGTTTTATGGTCTCCTCCTGAGTAGACAGCATTCTTATCTTGCAGCTGATTGATTTATGGGGGAGTGCCTCACAGAGTGCGTTCAGGATTGCAACAAGGTTATCAGGATTTGTCAGTAGAGCTGCACCCATACCAGCATGTACGGAAAAATGCTTCGGACAGCCACAGTTGAGGTCTATACCAGCGACATCCTGCTCTATTGTCTTTGCAGCCTCGACCGCGAGTTCTGGGGTGGATGAACCAATTTGGTATATAACGTGTGGCCTCTCCAACGCATGTGTGCTCCAAACTGGCTTATTTTCTGATTCTTTTATGTAATCTATTACACCAGTTTTCGCTGTGTATTGTCTTAGCATAAATAACAAAAGGGAGTACTACTAACCATTGTAGACCCTATGTGATCCTATTATAGCCTTGTCTATCACTTCAGGCGTCCAGACAAGCTTTGCACCGTACTCCAAACTGACGAGCCGGGTTGGTACTATTATGTGTGAGATAGAGAAAATAAAGAATATTCATACCCACATGTACCACTCCTCACCATAGGTGCCAAGTGCAGTCCGTTCGAGTAATCTACGCTCTCAAATGGCTTATTTTCAACTTTAGTCTTCTTCTTTGGTGGCTCAGGGGAATTTGGGGATGGCGAACGTGAATGTGTAAGTGTCTGCGTCATTCTAGAGCTTATCCTGTGCAGAATTGCCCTGATGGTCATAGACAGCACTTGGATGGCTGAAGAGAAGACAGCTCGAGAGAAGAATATAGCAGAATAAAGAATAGGATGCATAAATATATCTATATTAATAACTAATAAAATGTTCCATTATCTCCAGTATCTATATCCAGCTGCTAATACGCCAATTACGACGGTAGACATAGCCAAGTAGCGTTGTAAGCTGCCATTTCGTATTGCCCTCTTGATTTTCATCCCAATGAAGAATCTGTTCATAAATGCCTCAATTACCTGGCTTTTAATTGCGGGGTTCGGTAATGTCCTGCTTTTGTCAGCGAAAAATGAACTAACAAAGATGGAAAGCCCTTACCACAAGCCGTGTTCATCAATAACCCATGCTTGGTCGGTTGCGTCTGTAGCAGTGGCCAAAATGAATGCCTGGGAGACGATATCGACCGAAGCGAGAGGAAGACCTTTCAATATCATTCTCATGGATTTATTGAGAATGTTCGTGTCTGCAAACCATGGCTGGAGTTTTTGTTAGTAAGAACCAACAATTGTGTTTATGACCTACGTTGATGCAGTTACACCTGAAACCTTCGATTTGGCCCTGCAAAGAAAGCGATTGTGTAAGGCTCAAAATGGCGGCCTTACCGGCCGAATATGGCATTCCTGTAGCTGGTAAAGCATGAAAACTGGCGATTGAACCGGTCAAAATAAGACATTTTTCGCCCTCTTTCGCGACAGTGTTCTCCCGGAAGTATCTAACTGCTAGGTGAGATGTATAAAGCACGCTAGTGAGGTTCACGTCGACGACCTTCAAATCGGGCTTAACGTTAGCCGGTAAATTTGGATTCATGAATTCTGCTGAAGGATTTATACCCGCGTTGGCGCATACTACGTCTATCCTTCCGTATTTCTCGACAGCTGCCGTAAAAAAGTTGTATTGTTCATCATATTCAGTAACGTCTACCTTTGCGATGAGGAGATCAGTTGGGTTTGAGAGCTCCTCAGCAAGCGACTGTAGACGGCTGAGGTTTATATCGCAAGCTGCTACTTTGGCACTACCCTGGGTTAGAACAACGAGGAAGATGGTTCATACGCACCCGAGTTTAAGATACTCAATTGTAGCCGAACGTCCGATACCAGATGCAGCGCCGGTGATTAATACTACCTTATTCTGCACGCCTTTTGAGAGATCGCTGTAGTTTGATTTGTATGGGTGCTCAATCTCCATAGATAAACACTTGTTGGTCGTTTAACAATGAGAAGCCCGGACGGCGGCCATTTCGGTTATTAGAGGGTTTTCTGGTACTCCTCAGGAGTTGCAACCAATCGTTAGTTTATTTAGGAAATTTGTTAGGAATGCGTGTCTGTACATTCACACCTTCATCTGAGATATGAATTTACCAATTCTAGTGAGTACACAGGGATCTCATCTGCTATACACACTGACAGTATACAGCTCGCATTATCTCTCCTCATCGCTATTCCACCGACAGCAGCCCAGCCAATTAGGAAGCAAATAGAGCCAGGCTTTATAGGCCCTTAATTAATATATCTGTACTCCACATGCACATCTCCCGATATCTCCCAAATACAGTCGCGTTGCACCTTGAACCACGACGATGATAACCGCCAGAACACTAAGACAGACTATAAACAAGGCGAAGCCTTACACGGCGAGATTGTACTCCTCTGGTAATACTGACAAATCGCAGGGATATTTGAATGTAAGTCCGGGGTATACCCCAGACTAGAGTCTCCTAACGAATACAGTCATTCCTCCACGGTAGCCATACCGCACAAAAAGAGGGCGCAGAGGCTGAGAAGATAGGCCACAGTAGGTCTGTAGGTCGCAACAAGTACATACACGAAATCCAGAGTGAGTGACGTCACCACCCGATCCCGCGCTCACAAGGGCAGAGCACCACGTCAAGCCGGCGAAAATAGATGACTACAAGGCAGCAGTGTAGGTCTGATAGCGTGAATAAACTCTTACTGAGACACTTCTAGTCAGGATTATTATCTCTCGCTCATCGGTGATAAAGAAAATCATCTGAAGTTGACAGGTAGTTGGGAAGTCATGTATGGCGAGCAGGATACTTTCATCCACATCCTCGAGTATGAGGGCTTCAAGGGCCTTGATGATACCCTCGCACTCGTCCGTAAGACCAACGTAAGTGTCTTGAACCTCTAGACAAAGGGCTCACAGAAGTATAGGCCAATGCCTTATTCAACGAGCGTGTAAGACCACTACTCAACCATCGCACCTCGGAACTCTCCCAGGAATTCGCGTTTTTCCCTTCTTCACCTCCGCATTCTGCCGGTGGTATCTTTGAATTGCGCAGATATCAGCTCAAGCCGGGTTCTCTTCTCCAGTGGGAATCATTCTGGCGTAAAGGTTTAGAAGCCCGTCGTCAGTTTGTTACTGTGAGTTTGGGCTTTAAGTGCGTGTCACCGCTAACGTAATAAAACAGCCAGTCGGCGCCTGGTTCTCACAAGTCGGCCAGTTGCACAACGTTACCCATATGTGGCAATATCCGGACTTTGAATCCCGCAAACGCACACGTGAGCAAGCTTGGACAGTCGACGGATGGGCCTACACCGTCTCAGAGGTGAGTATTTCCTCATTTTTATACTCATACTAACGGTACACCAGACTGTTAAGTTATGTAATACGATGGAAACATCTATCCTTGAACCACTGCCATTTTCACCTCTAAAGTGAGCTATAGTAGAAAATCTTCATGTATTTTTTATATTTCATATCGTTAAGAAAACCCAAAGTAAAGCTAAAGGGGGTGATTATAGGATTGTTAGTCGATCATAAAACAAGCTCTAGTGAATTGTTTGGGTTCAAAAATAGCTTAGGCGTTATGCGATTCAATAAAAAATGCTAATTTGCGTTAGTAGTTTATTATACGTTGAATGGTGCACCATTAGCTTGAACGTAGTTCTCGGTTGCTTCCCCGCTGTTTGGCTGAAGGATATCACCATCTTGTGAGATATTGTGGAAGTCTGGAAGCTGTTTAGTAGACTACGTATAACTTTTAAATTACACACCAAGTATCTCAGAATACATCATTACTTTCCATGTGTCGATTGGTAGATCTGCGTCATTGAAACTCCAATCGAATTGTTCAGCAGCAACGGGTTCGTCATTTGGATCATGGTATGGTGCCAAATAAGGATGTGATAAGGCTTGTGAAGCTGTTATTCTCGATCTTGGATCAAAGCTTAACATTTTCTCTACTAAATCCAACGCCAATGGGTCTGTTGTCTTGAATTTCTCGCTAAATGGTACCTTGGCCCTTTTTGGAAGACTCTGAACGAATCTGAGTGTCTAAAAATTAATTAGAGGCGCTTAGTTTGTAATATATTGTATTCACATTTTCTGAGCAGATAGTCTGGATGACGTCTTCAGGTGGAGTACCAAGTAACTCAGTGATGATGGAGAATTGGTTGACGTCTACATTGATGTTGAATTTCTAATGATGGAATATCACTTAAACTCACGATCCTTGCCCGGGAATAGCGGCTTCCCTTCAAGCATTTCAGCGAATATGCAACCAGTGGACCAAATATCGACTAGTGGGTTATGAGGTTGAATATAACAGTTAAGATCGCACTCACCGGCGACATCGTACTTCTGCCAAGTAAGCATAATCTCTGGTGCACGGTAGTAACGGGTCGAAACATAACCAGTCATCTGTGGATCCTGAATACGTGCAAGACCGAAGTCGCAAATCTGGTAGTTTTATGAACCTCGATAGCTATTTGGTGTACTCAAAACGGACCTTTAAATCGCAATTCTCATTAACTAGGATGTTTGACGGTTTGAGGTCACGGTGTACTACTCCGGCTGAGTGCACATATTTCAGACCTCTCTGTAATGTTGTTAATGGTGATTGGAAGGGTCTAAGTTCACTGACGAGTATCTGGTATAAGAAATACTGGATGAACTGCTTTTCGAGAGGTCGCGCAGTCAGGAGACGGTGTAGATCAGTGCCTAGTAATTCAGTAACAAAGTAGATGTCCTCTGATGGACTGATAAAGATATCAGACAATCCAATGATGTTCTCATGTCGGATGTGCTTCAACAACTTGAGTTCCCTGTAAGTGCGCTTGCTAAGAACGGGGGTAGAGAAAGGCTTCATAATTTTCTTGATAGCAACTGAGTTGTTAGTCAGTTGATCCCTCGCTGAGCTGTCTAATGTTAGTTTCGAGTTTGTGCGACAGCAAATGCAGACCAAACCAATCCAAATGCGCCTATGTATTATTTAGCCTGTTACACACTAAGTAAGCGAATACACACCCATTCCCACAGGTTCTAAACTATCATAGCGGCTTGTTATTTGGAAGAGCGTACCAAATATGCTAGTGTTGACCTTTGTAGCGTTGGATTATATTTTTATTCTTTTCTTCTTACTCACGAAATCCGCCATAAATTATTTTATTCAAGATTGTCAATCGTGAACCAGAACTTTCAGCTCAATGGTGAGTGAAATAGAGAGAAAATATCTTTGTTGACCTGCTAGTTCCTTACACGCTCTGAATACGACCGCGGTGTTTCTACTTTCTCACCAGAGGGTCGTCTCTATCAAGGTGAGGCTGACGTATGCTCATATACACTCACTAACGATTAACAGTTGAATACGCCATCGAAGCAATCAAAGTTCGTTCCCTCTCACTCGTTTTTTAGCTTTCTAACTACCTACAAGCTCGGCTCAACTGCTGTCGGTATAGCAACCAAACATGGTGTCGTTCTCGGCGTAGAGAAGCGTAGCCAATCCCCACTCTTACTCTCCACTTCCATAGAAAAGATACTATCGATAGATTCTCACTTAGGCTGCGCAATGTCTGGTTTGACTGCTGACGCACGTACTATGGTCGATCACGCACGCGTTGTCGGTCAGAACCACAGGTTCTCCTACGATGAGCCACTATTAGTTGAAAGCTGCGCTCAGAGCGTATGTGATTTGGCACTCAGGTTCGGTGAGGGTGTAGACGAAGACGAAAATGAGGAGGCTATGATGGTGAGTCTCTAGTTGCTTTCTTAGCCTTACTTACCATAGTATAGTCACGTCCATTCGGTGTTAGTTTGTTGCTCGCTGGTATCGATGAACGCGGTCCACAATTATACCACACTGATCCTTCAGGTACTTTCATGCGCTACGACGCAAAGGCTATCGGCTCTGGTAGCGAGGCTGCCCAAACCGAGCTTCTTGACAAGTACCACAAGAACCTCACCTTAGAAGAAGCCCAGGTCTTGGTGCTTAGCGTATTAAAGCAGGTTATGGAGGAGAGACTAGACGAGCACAACGTACAACTCGCTCAGGTTACCACGGAGGAGAGTTTCAGAATAATTAATAGGGACGAACTCCAGAACGCAATTTTGAGATTACCAAATCAACAGCCAACACAGGAGCCACAACAGTGAAGACGCATTTGTAAAATTATGAACAGCTAAATTAGGTGTATGTCGTACTCTAATGTGCAGAGAGAAGCGTCTAATGTGTGAACGCGATGTGGAATGCATCGTTGAGATATGTCATGTTCAATTTCTATGTCGACTGAACCACTCAATGGGTATGTCGATGTTCCTAACAAAGTGCCAGTATTAATTGCTTATTGCCTCACACTCTTGAGTATCCGCAACTTGACCATTCGCAACGACCTTCATTTTCCTTTGTACTCCCATCCCGTTTGTTATCCTTATAACATGTATCATCAACTCTTCAATCCCGTGAGTGACACTATCTGTATAATTCTCATCGTACTTCTCTTCGAGTGTGTGTGAGTATGACCATAAAACACATCCCCTCACTTCTGTACAGTGATTGGTTCATCGGGAAATTGTAAGATTGGTGATGTTTCTTCCTCCTGCTAGACGGTGTACTGGATGAATGAGGAGGATGGCTGATTATGCAGCAGTCTGTGGTATTTATACTTACTGTACTATTTTCTATATGTGGATATCAATAACTTTAACTTTTGTCAACGAAATTTTTCACACACTCAGAGACGTAGAAGAGTATCCTTTACAGTACATTCAAATACTTTCATTGTACTCACGACTTACAATTTATAAAAATGATAGAATATAAAAAATAGTGATGATGTCACAATTGAACGAATATTCTTGCTAATAAAAGGATCAACGAAGATCTCAAAAGTAAAAGTTAGAAATTTTAGCCTGAGATTACAACCAAATTTTAAGAAACTGTTGATCCTGAATTTTACTTGCCTTCACCAGAAGTACAGGTTTAGGAATCGAACCTATGCAAGATGCATGTTAATGGGACTTACATATAATACCCATCAATACGCTTAATACTAATCCATAGTTGCAAAGGATACAGTATATGTCAATTTAACATGTTTAAAGTTATTTTCTATTGAATCTATATATAAAGATTAAAAAAAAATTTTTTAAAAAGGCTTTAAATTGGAAATTTAATAAAGACATCTAGGGAAAGAACGGAAGTACAGAGACATTTTAATATTTATTTTAAGTTTCTAATGCTTTGATATATTTTGTTTTATATTTTATTTTAGCAATTTCAATGTTTAGGAACTCCACCAAATTGCCTTTAAGCATCTTTTACTACTAGGTATTAAGCTACTGGCCCACATAGATTTGAAAGTTCTCTATCCACCGAGTTATCCAAGTAACCAGTCGGTTGCATGGTTAATAATCCACAGTCATCCGTGGCCTCACCGTTATAAAGCTGGAATTGATAGTACCCTTCTTTAGATGCATCCACATCGTATACAGCCTTATAAGCCAAATCGTTGACTTGGTCTGCATGATTAGCCCCATAACAGTAGCTACCAAACTAGATAACAAAAATGCAGCACACGGAGCGGCATACACAGCATTTACCTGAACTGCAGCACATGAAACAAGTGAAGCGCCGAAAGAATAATTCAAAAGTTTGAAGTAAGCTGACGTATCTCCACTATGCAACATGTTCCTAGCTTGGATTCCCATGTCTTCATATCCGCTGGTCAACAATCGATTATCATCGAAATACTCCTTATTTTTAGATTCTGAAATATGTTCTGCTACTACCATATTGATGCAAGAGCAAAGCAGTATGGTAATAGGTAGATATAGAGGAAATCTGTTGTTCCCAAACATAATATTATAGATAATATATAAGTATAAAGGGCTAATATTCCGAAGATAAACAAATATTGATAGTATAAAGCCAGATTGAATAATATTGCAAACGGAGTTGCAATATAAACAACTAACTAAAAGCTTTTTTTTTTAAAAAAAAAAGTTTTTTTTTTCGAGATTGATAATGTCAATTTATTCCATAAACTTTTATTTCTTTTATTAAATATTTTCTGAGCTTTTATAATTTCTGCGTGTGAATATGCAGTTTTGGTTGTGTTTGTTTTGGAATCTACATCTTCGTTTTGGTTTATTTCCATATTGTTTTCTTCTTGACGTTGGTCAATTTTGTTTAATATTTCTGTAGCATTGGCTAGTGTGATATTCCCGTTTAGGATTTCTTCGCTATTTTCATCGTCGGCGAAAGATTCGATGTATGCCTTCCGTTGTGGGAATTCTTCCTCACTGTTTAATTTGAATGTGTTTGGTGTGTCGGTCATTTTTCTTATAGTATGATTATATTTGGTTGCTTCGACGACTTACAATTTATAAAAATGATAGAATATAAAAAATAGTGATGATGTCACAATTGAACGAATATTCTTGCTAATGAGAAGAACAACGAAGATCTAAAAAGTAAAAAAATAGGAATTTTAAGCTGATATTAGAACCAAATTTTGAGAAACTACTAAATACCAAATATGGAAACTATTCTAAGTAAGTATCATTCATCTGGTAAATGCTGCCACTAACTTTGTTATCAGTACCGACAATACATTGTCCCTCCTGCGTAGAAAGAATTACGTCAGTCTTGAGTGACGAGCTAGGGGGTAGAACATCTGAGATATCCGTCAATCTCCTCAACAAACAGGTTACTTTCCACACTGATAGCAAATCGGCACGCAGAGATGCGTTGAATACGCTAGAAGAGATCGGATATCAAGTGGAGAATGAGAAGGATTATACTAGCACCTTTCGGAAATTAAGACGGCCAAAAGGGAAGGGGAAGGCCCGAGATGACGATCTTCTCATTCAGCAACGACACTTAGACTCCTGCCAAGAGTGCAGAGAAAAAGAAGAAAATGGCAGTAAACCTGAAGACATTTTTTATATCACCAAGTTATCAATCAGTGGTATGACGTGCAGCAGTTGCACACAGACGCTCTCATCGACTCTCAAAGCCCTTGATGGCATAGACACCGATTCCGTACGTGTTAATCTCATGGCAGCTGAAGCAGAATTCGTTCATCAGCACACACTCTCATTTGATGAAATAATTGATGAGATTCAAACTGTGGGATACGATAGCGAAATCATCTCAAGTGCACCCATCAATCAGCATGATGACGATGTCACTGTCACAACCAAGTTTGATATAGAGGGTATGACATGTTCGAGCTGCTCCAAGTCGATCACTTCGGCACTCAAAATGGTGAAGGGCATCGTCAGCGTCGATGTGTCAGTCACAAATGCTAGGGCTATCGTGGAACATACTAGAGATGTCACTGTAGAGCATCTTGTCGACACCATAGAGGAAATTGGTTTTGAGGCGACTGTTGTATCGACAAAGAGCAAAGATGTTGAGAAAAGTAACGAACGTAGTGTTGAAATAGAAGTGGAAGGTATGTTCTGCAGTCATTGTCCGGCTCATTTACTCGAAACTTTAAATAAATTACCTTTACTAAGCTATTCAAATGATATATCATTGGATAACCCATTCGCGACTATCACTTACATTCCTAATCCATCATCACTGACTATAAGGAGTCTTTTGGGGGATATTTCAAGTGCACATCCACGATTTTCTCTCAAGATTGTTGAGCAAACTGCCAGCACTTCCCGAGCAACAGCTATACATCTTTCTGAAGCCAAAGTATGGTTGCTCAGAGTTTCAGTATCTGCTCTATTCAGTATTGCAGCACTAATCGTGAATGTTATTGGAATGGAGATTCTCGATGAAGATCATCCAATTAGGAGAGAACTCGAAAGACCTATCTGGGGACAAGCTACTGTTGGTATGATAGTTATGTTCGCAATTTCCACACCAATGTATTTCATTGTTGGATGGAATTTCCATAAAAAATCGTTCCTCTCTTTGAAAGCATCTTCGTTGGCTATCAAGAAGAGTAAGAAATTTCCTTGGAAAGCTCTAATTACATGGGGATCAATGGATTTGTTGGTTACTCTTGGTACCACTGTTGCTTATGTGGCCAGTATAGCTATGCTTATCATTGACGTACGGCTTGATTCCCCTGATGGACGTATGATGGGATATTTTGAAATGCCTATTTTCTTGATATTCTTCATCGGGATCGGCAGAATGCTTGAAAGCTGGATGAAAGCCAAGGTCAGTATTAATTTTTTTTCTTTCATATAGCAACTGACAGAACGTAAGACGGGAGATGCTATCGCGACATTAGGTAAACTCAAACCACAGAAGGCATTGTTGGTGAATGCCAATACTTTCGAAAGACAACATGAAGAACTCGAGTTGGTGAAATCCCATGAAACTAAAGCAAGCAGTGATGTCAATTCTAAAGGCAGTTTTGATTTTAATGTAGCGAGACTATCGCATGGTGATGGTCCCTCAGAGGGTAGCAGCGGAAATGTTCAAGAAATACCACTCTCGCTAGTCGAGATTGGTGATACACTGCTCGTACAACCAGGTGAAGCTGTACCCATTGATGGTGTGTTGCTAGGAGAGGGCAGCTTTCCGTTCGATATGTCAAGCGTCACGGGTGAATCACTACCCATCACACTTCATGAAGGTGACGAATTGCTTACTGGTACAACGACTATGAAAGCTGTCTATATGAAAGTTACAAGTACTGCTTCTGAAACTCTGATTGATAGAATCATTAGAGTTGTCAGTGAAGCACAATCTAAGAAAGTAAGTTATACTGACACCTGTGAGCTTCATCTAATGCATTTATAGGCCCCAATCGAGAAAATTGCCGATGCAGTGACAGGTGTTTTCGTACCAGTCATTGTATTTATTGCAATAATTACACTCATCGTATGGCTTGTTGTAGCTGCAAACGCTAACGAGCTTGGTGGAAAGACAGATAGAGGTGGAAAGATGTTCTTTGCGTTACAATTTGCTATCAGTAGTCTTGTCATAGCATGTCCATGTGGGTTCGGTCTGGCCGTCCCAACTGCAATCGCCGTTGCTAGTGGTATAGCAGCAAAGTTAGGAGTATTGGTACAGTCTGGCAGTGAATCATTCGAGCTCGCTAATAAAGTGGAAGTGGTTGTTTTCGACAAGACAGGTACTTTAACCAAAGGAGAATTGGCACTTGTCGGTGAACGTAAATTGAACAACGAGACTAGTAACACACCGGATGGTATATTGTGGGATCTGGTTGTCAAAACAGAAGAACAGTCATCACATCCAATCGCTAAAGCGGTCAAAACTTATGCATCATTAAAGCAGCGGTCGAATTCTCCTGAATTGACTTCAACGGAGGAAGTAAGCGGAAGGGGTGTTAGAGCAACATTCAACTATGGTGATAAGGAATTAGAAATGCGCATAGGTAATGCAAAATTCGCTGGTGTTCGTTCAACGGAGGCGGTTGATGAATGGAAAAAGCAAGGCAACTCAATTGTGTACATAGCTACTAAAGATGTAAGAAGTAGTGATGATGACCTCGTCACAATCTTTGCATTAGCTATCGCGGACTCACCACGAGACGAATCAGCATTTGTAGTCGAATATCTTCGCTCATCGGGAAAGAATGTCTTCATGTTGAGCGGCGACGAGGAAATAACTGCCAAGTCGATAGCTAAACAGGTCGGTATTGATGAAGGGAATGTCATAGCTGGTGTCATGCCTGATGAGAAAGTGAAGCACATAGAGCGCTTAAGAAGAGAAGCCGCTAATAAGGGAGTATCATCATCTATGTACAATCGCATGAAAACCTGGATGCGTATTAAGGAGAATAAGCAAGCGACGCCTCTCGTAATGTTCATCGGTGATGGTCTGAATGATGCAGGGGCTATTGTAGCTTCAGACGTTGGATGTGCACAAGGCTCTGGTAGCCAAGTTACATTATCATCAGCACATTTCATCCTCCTCAACTCATCGCTGAGGTCGCTTATCAATATCTTCCGATTGAGCAAGCTGGTTAAGATAAGGATAGCAATCAACTTCGTTTGGGCGTGTATATTCAATATCGTTCTCATACCAATCGCTGCCGGAGTTTTCTACCCAGTGGGTGTAAAACTTCCGCCGGTTTATAGTGCCCTCGCAATGGCGTTATCTAGTGTCAGTGTCGTCATATCTAGTTTGTTGTTGCGTTTACATAAATTCTCTAATTGATTTTGTAATATTCATCCGGGATACATTATTAATACATTTATTTCAACGCGAATAAGAGCAATATTGACATTTGACAGCTTGCAATGAGTAATATGGTAACTAATATGGCAGATACTGCCTTAAAGCTCGTCGGCTGTCTCCCTGGTTGTGCAGTCCTTTGTAGTCCTTTTTCTGCTACATCTCCTACATTCGAATCGAGCGGACGCTTGATGTCACCGGAGTGGATATCATAAGACGCGATAATTTGGGTTGTTTCTGGTGCCTTAGGTTTTATTATTTGGTGTATTGGTTGTTTATTGTTTATATGCTCTGCTGTTCTGCTGTGATACCAGTTTAGATACACCATGACGGCCGGGAGATAAGAGCAATTTCGGTTGATGATGTGCGCACAATGCAGATAAAAAAATGAGAGAATTATATATATCAACAGCGATTATAGATATATAAGACTAGCTATATACCGGTGTTTTCCATAAAGGGTATACGAAGAAGTAAGCGACGGCAAAAGCTGTGTGATTCGGCACGATAGTAGATGTACCCTGAGTGTATATCATTGGCATATCATCTATCTTCTATAGATCATTTAGAAAAGCAAGTCATTAATTCGTCATCGAAATAGGAAACAGACAGAAGTTGTGCAGCTCTGTAAATATTAATCAATAATCATGTTGTAGATGATCTTCATCGAATTTATATCATCTCCTCTAATTTGCTTTAGTCATCTTCAAACTACTATTAATACGACGAATGGTTTTATAGCGGTGGGATAGCAATAACTTGATAGAATTTTGTATCATTATATGGGGGTTCTGTTAAAGCTCAAATCTACATATTAGTTGTATGGATTGTACTTTGCCAACGAGTGTGCACTTCTCGTCGAGGAGATGTTTAGAACCCTTTCGTGACCCTCTTGGTTCTAAATAGTTATTAGCTGTCTCTCCAAACTTAGCGAGAGTGTCCTTAACAACTTTATCATAGGTTGAGAACCCTGATAAGTGTTTAATTTCTCGCGTTGTACCTTGGATTTTCAAAGATTGTTTGCGGATTGGACATTTTATGAGGAAGTCTCTCAAGCAGAACCTCAAATGCCCAAGCTTGCGAGACCAGCAGCTAAACTTAAGTGCTCATGTTGCAATGGGTTCATTTCTGTCTTCGTATCAATTAAAAAAAAATTCACTCAACTAATCTTCCATCTGATTATGCTACATAACGCAAGTGAACAGCAATAATATAAAAAACTGTATGGGTTAATTTGATAGTGGAAGTACAACAGCATACCAGGCTAACATTCAATGCACTCTTTGTCAAATTCGCCGGGCGCATTGAGGTAGCTGACGGCAACGACATTCCTGCCTGAGATGAAATCAGTTTCAGTGAGCCTCATGATTTGTGAGTCACAGCTTGACACTTTAATGCCAGTAAGTGGATTGTGCAATTATCATAGTTAGTGTATGACATCAGTATACGCCTTATATAAGTTTTGTGTTTAAAGCAGTTTTTTCTTAGATTTCTCAGTTGCTTTTCGTTTTCCTTTTCTGTTGGACACCATAGACCCCAAAGATAGTAAGACTTAAAAATCAATGACCATCATTTCAATCTATGTCATTGTTTCGATGAAGCATATTATGGCATTTCGCCACATATTATTTCAGTGATATGAAGCGCTTGTTCTGTCATCATAATAACTGCGTAAATGTAAATATACTTCATAAAGCGTACGCATACGTTGGAATTTTAAGCTTAACTAATGCATGTAATTACGAAGACACAGGTGAAAAATGGGGTTATCCTTGTATTACAGCCCAGAGTTATACTGCGAATCCTAAAACAGACCACAACTGCTAAACCGCTTTCTCTCCTTTTCTCTGGGATGATTCCCACTTCTTTATCTTTTCTTCATTCCGATTCTTGCGTCCGACGACATATCGTACCATGTTATGAGAACGCTTGGCTGTACGACGTGGAATACGAACAAAGCTCTTTCCGCTCCTGCCGAGGCAGTTAAACCATTGAGTTCTGTTAAAGTTGATTGGTGAACCGACGCCTATGTAAATACTGTTCGAGTTTTGTTAAGTGGGCATTTCATTGGAAGACGTACTTACAATGTGTCATATACAGTGGCACCTAATATAGTTCCAGCGAATGTACCAATCAATGGTCCTAGAACGAACCAGCATTTATCATGTGTCCAGAGTTCACTTGAATACCCCACGGAAGCGAGGAAAATACGTGGGCCGAAATCCCTGACTGGATTTGTGGCGTATCCAGATAGAGTGCTGTAAAGCTTTAGCAAAGTGGTAACGTAAAAGAATATATATAGCTTACCCCATAGCAGTACCAACTAGAATGGCCTTGTTTGCTTAGCCGAGAGATTAACATACAAACTTACCAGCGAAGATAACCAAACCTATTTAAAATCAACGTTATAAGGAATTATATTTGTCTTTTCGGACATACCTATAATAAGACCACCAAGAGAAGCGCCAGGAGGAGCATTGTCCTTATCTCCAAGTGCTAAGACAGTTACCTTAGTTGCATCGTTAGCCTCTAAAGGTAAGCTATCAATCAACCTACAGTCAAAATAGCTCCCGCTAGAATCTCTTGGAAGACACACACACCCACTGGTGTACCGTGTTCCGTGAACGGCTCCGTGACAAACAAATTTGCAGTCGCACCATCTCCCTTGACTCGATGAAGTGGATCTATGTAGCTGATATCAACTCCATACATCGCCCAAGTCAAACCGGCTGCAACGAAAGCACCTAAAAGTTGAGCCACGAAATACCTTGGTACATACGTCCATGGAAAACCTCTGAAGATAGCTAGCATGAGAGTAATAGCTGGATTAATATGGGAACCACTGATACCACCTGCTATGTATATTGCGGCGGTAGCACCTAGACCACCCGCAAGGTTAACATTCGAGTACGCTGCGGTGATAGATCTTGTGTAGATCATTGTCTGAGTATTTGCACATAAACCTATCAGTATAGCTATGCAAGTAGCAAGGAATTCAGCCTAATTGGTCAACCAATTATCAGGTTCACATCACTTTTACTTACTAAGGGCTCCCTGATAACTTCTCTAACACGGAACCAATAGTTGTAATCATTCTCGTTATTTTCATCTTTACTTTCTTCAATCCTCTCTTGTGCATCGTCTGCTTCCTCGTGTTTATTCTCGAGTTCTCCACCCACCTGTCCTTATCATTAAGCTAAACATCTGATACTGTACTGTTTTCGGAAAAACTCACCTTCATAGTCTTCATCATCATCGCTGTTTGGCTGCTCAAAGTCATCGTTTTTCATCTTTTGTCTATTAGTGTGAAGAGACTCATCTCCCGTGGGTTCTTCATCGTGTTCTACTTCTTCGTCATACTCGTAGTTATTGTCAGGTATCACCCCGCCTATTTGATGCTTTTTGCCTTCAGGTTCATCATAATTAGCTTTCGAATTCCCTCTAGTTGGTTTTGGCATAAAGTATGTACCATGGGCTGTGTTAAAAGTTGGTGTCCTTGGTGATTGGATCATTGCAGATTCTTGCTCTTGCGCACCGTTAAATGTACTGTTTCCATCGTGTAGTCTATTATTGAAGCTCTCCAACCCAAGTGTGATGCCTCTTTCAAAAATGAAATCAATGGCAAAAGTTAAAGTTTTGGGATCAAGCTGATGCTCGGCAGCATGTTTACGTTCTTCTTTCTCAACATTTTCTTCGGCAGATGGGAAAACACTGCCAATTGCGAATGGTCTTCGCTTTGATTTCAGTTTTTCAACATGCTCATTATGTTTTTTCACCTTGAGCTGTTCTTTTGTTGGACTGTCTTGTTTTTTCTCTTTGTCATTCTTATCCTTTGTAGACTTGTGGGAGTGCTTCTCACTTGACATTTTGGACAGAAATAATGAAGAAGATCATTTAATCCAAAACTAGGGTGTGGGTTATTTAAGGTACAGTGGCTCGTGCACACTGCGTATGCAACTGGAGCGCTACTGAGGTCTGATAGAAAGCAGATATTGAATTTTTGACATGCTTTTGTTATTTTCTCGTTTATTTATTGTTTTAATAAACAAATGCTCAAAAACTGATGACAATTACGACATTCTAGTTGCTTGACAGCCGGAGATCGACAACTGCGTGTTTCAGATACTCGATAATCTTCATATAAACCATATTTGTATACAAAAAATCATCTGAACTCGGCTTTATATAGTGGAACTCATTATTCTTGCTCAACATATTTCGGTTATGGGGTGATATCGTCGTCATTCATTCACGTACGTCTGATAGTCTGATGCATATGCTATGCTAACAATAATAAATTTCATTTATAATATTAGCTATGTGCTGCTATAACGTAAATGCAAGAAGCATTACATATCGAGCTGTCATATGTTGCGATGTCAGGCTTGATAACACGTATACACTATAAAATACATTGTAACATCCTCAATTGAGCTATATCTCTCGTCATTTGCTCCTCTGATTTTGACAGTCAACATCAAAGAAGTAGCAGCATGGGCACACCCAACGCACAGCTACTAGGATCAAAAATTGTATTTGGTGCGCAATATACGCTCTTATTTTTTTACCCCTAATCACTGTGCTAGTTGGAAATCTGCCATACGATATCAATGAGGAGGAAGTTGTTAGGATATTCTCAGAGGTTGGCCCTGTGAAAGATTTCCGTATGAATTTCGACAAGCACACTGGAAAGCCAAAAGGTTACGGCTTTGTTGAATATTATGGTATGTCGAGTATCGCTGCATAGGTACAATTACTGATGGTACAACCCAGATGGTGACACAGCCGCATCTGCAGTCAGAAATTTACACGATAACCCAGTCGGTGGTCGGCCATTACGTGTTGATCTTGCTCCGGATGATCCAAAGCATGTGAAGCAGAAGGAGAGAGAGAAACATCACAATAATATGAGCTCAGGGAATTACGCTCCGCTTCCACCACCACCAACAGCTGCTAGAATGGGTATAGATATGGCTCCAGGTCAGTCAGCAACTGATAGCATCAGCCAAACACTTGCAAGTTTACCACCAAATCAACTACTTGATATTTTGTCACAAATGAGGGCTTCAGTCCATACAGAGTCAAACTCTGTTAGACAGCTCCTCAATCAGAATCCTCAATTGTCTTATGCTCTCTTTCAAGCTATGCTCATGATGAATTTATGTGATAACACCGTTTTGCAGGTGCGTATTATGTTATCCAAGGATGATAGAGCTTACTTATAATCTACAGAGACTAATGCCTAATCAACAAGCACCACAAATGATGAACCCTACACCACCACCAATGATGAGTACACCTGCCATGTATCAGCAACCACCACAACCACCAATGTACCCAAGAACTCACACCCCAACATATGCACAACCTCCTCCAGCGCAAGATCCAATTCAGGCGAAGGTACAAGCTCTTCCACTAGATCAACAAGCTATGGTCATGCAAGTCTTATCATTCACTCCTCAACAGATAGATGCATTACCTCCAGATCAAAGAATGTCTATTGTCGCTCTGGTATGTATTATTAATACAAGGTGTTTATACTGACTAAAATTTTCAGCGTCAACAATTCGGTGTTATGTAGATTTATTTATTAAATGCATTTAATTTTTTGAGTATAATATGAGTCATTCGGATGGATTTTTATTACTCCGTGGAATACCTTCCTTTTCCGTCAACTAAAGGAACCTGGCTCAGAAGTTACGCCGAGACATAGAGGATAGACAACAATGTTAACTATTTTCGGTAAGCTACAATATAATGGAGAGTTAATTATTGAAAGCTCCTCTCTCTTTAACTGTCAGTACTTAATAAAAAGTAATGAAGATTGCGACTTTAGCCACTATACTCGCGGCAACGACAGCGGTTAACGCTGTACCAGTCCAACATGAGTCTGTAAGTTAATCTTCTTATTTAAGTCACAGTACATGGTCTAACTGATTTTCAGAGACAATTAGCAGATGTGCTACAAGGCCTTATCGACCAAGCTGGTAAAGCCAATCCAACAAAGGATGGCTCAGCAGCGGCCAGTGCCGAAGAAAAAGATAAAACACTTGACAACAGTCTCGACAGTAAACTCAAGCGCGACGATGCTTATGATGAAGGCGGCAGATTCGACGAAGCTCTCGACCAACTCAAAAAGCGAGCCGTTTTGAACGACTACCTTGGCGAACTCCTGAACTTAGCTCAACCAGGTGGATTACTCAGACGTCAAGACGACATCGAGAAGAAGATAAACGAAACTATCGCAGATGTTATTGACAAATCTGTCGACGATGTTGCTGCTAAGTTACCAACTAAACGTGATGGAACAGGTGTGCCAATCGTGACACCGCTCGTAGAAAAGCTCCTCGGAGGGCTTAAAGAATCTAGCAAGCGTCAAACTGACGGTGTTGTGGAGATGCTAGGTGAAGCTCCAATAGTGGGTGATGCAGTCGAACAGCTCCTTGGAAAAGAGGAGGAAGAGAAGCCAAAATCACCATTGGAGAAGATCAATCAACTCAACAGTCGCGACTACTACAAGTTCTGGGAGCCTTCTGGAGACAGCTTCCTTGCAGACGTACAGAGAGTAGACGAGGCACCTCACAAGTCTTTGGAAGAATTCAACCACAATGGCTATCACCATAAGGACCACCGTAAGCGTCAAGGCGAAGATGCAGAAGCTACAGCAGATTCAGCCTTGGATGATGACGCGCTCTCTGGACTCGACAAAGGTCTTGATGCATTAAAGAAGCGTCAAGGTGAAGATGCAGAGGCCACAGCAGATTCAGCCTTGGATGATGACGCCATTTCTGGACTTGACAAAGGTCTTGACGCATTGAAGAAACGTCAATTGAGTGAACTCAAGGATGCTGCTGGAAACCTTCCAGTTGTTGGTGATTTACTCAAGCAAAAGAATGAAACTGATTCAGACTCCTCTGAATCTTCAGATCCAAGCTTGAGTGATCTCATCCCAATGAAAGCACGTCAGTTGCTTCCTGATGTCTCTGATGTTGGTAGTCTTTTAGAGGGTGGTCATCCATCAGACAAATCAGATGGCAAGGCAGACGCCAAAGGTCTCGACAAACTCAGAGCTAGATTGTTAGATGAAGAAAAGCCAGATCCTGTTGGAGGTATTTTCGATGGCCTGCAAGGCACAGTTAAGGAAATTGGCGACACTCTTCCAGGAAATGGTGGTACTGCAGAGACATTCTTCGAGAGAAGAGCAGATAACGACACAACATCAGATGTAGAAGGGTTACCAAATATTTTGAAGTCCCTCCAAACTACTGAGAAGACTGAGGATGAATCAAGCACTACTTCTTCAACACCAAAACCAAGCTCAGATTCCGAATCTAAGGATCCAAATATCCTTGATGACCTTACCAACACTGCTGCAATCAAAAATGGTTTGACAAGTGCCGTCGAAATGATTCCAGAGTAAACTTCTCGTATGCTCGATGAGTGATAATTTACGGACACTTATGGTTACAAATCTCACCCTATACACTCCTTTATTGATCTACGTTTATATTTAACAAAACACACTCATTTGAATTTTCAATCAGTATAAACACACACACTCTTTTATTTGACGAAATGCTATCACAGTTAATTTTCGGACACTTACTTATTAATGATTCCAATTGCTGTTTTTCTATTCATATTTTTGTAAATAGTTTTAAACTTCGTAATAAATATCTGTATTAACCAAAAAGATCAATAGCTATGTAAAATAGATACTTTGTTATCCATCAGTGCAAAAAGCATCTGCATATATGAGACCTATTCTTATATACTGCAAACAGCTGTATTCAGCGCAGCATCAGTGTTAGTGAGATTATAGAGCTTTCAAGGTGAAGGCGAGTTGAGTGAAATTTTTATCCTGGTTGACACCTAAACAAAATGATATTTATTACAACTATGTAAGCTGTTTTCCTAGATAAAAGCACTGTGTGAATCTTTTTCGGTTTGTTTTTGAAACAACCAGAGACACTTACCCCGAGATGACAAATTCGTAAACGATCTTCGCAAAAGGTGAACATTATAGGCTTACCAGGTTTTTAAGCCAAGCGACGAGATCTTTGACGTATTCAACTACATGTAAGAGTACGTTGATATTTGTACATTATATTTAACCATTTACTCAGCTCGGTGGAATCGCATTGTCTCTCAATAACTCGATTGTATCCAATAATTACTTCCTGAAAGCTGTGAGAATACAAACAAAACAAGTTACAGTGAACTAACAAAGTATTTAGCATACACTGTTCTAGCTATTGATGTTACATCAGCTTTAGATATTAGCTATCACCAAATAAAAATCTTAAATAATATATAAATGAGAGCAAATTATTATATTTACTGGTAGATACAATTGAAATTCATTGACATTGCAGCCTTACTGCAAGGGTCTGAGAAAATTTGCAAGAATTGAAAGATTTCAGCATAGATAAGGGCAAAAACTAATCATCTGACAGCTGCGCTTATCCTTTTGAGCACCTCGCGTGTCTGTTACGATGGTAACTTTTAACCATCTCGTGAATAGGGAAATGATTTTGATAGCGTTTACCACTATCGACGTAGAAGACGGTTGGAAGTTCTCTAACGACATTTTCCTGACGATATTTAGTAATATTTACATAAAACATCATCACACACTTTGATATATTCGATAAATTCTGTACTGAGATCTGATGGGGTAAGCGCTTCAAAACCCTCACTATTCGGGTACGAATTGTAAGCCTATGCTTTTTAAGAATATTCAAGGCTCTACTAGTAGCCTACCTCTTTGGTTTTCTCCTAATTGAAGTATTATGTCAGTAAGACATTCAGATGGCAAGCTCATCATAACTCACTCGAACGAAGTGGTAGAACTCTTTGTGTTCACTCGTGAAGGCACCGTCCACTCCTCTTTTAAGAAATCCAAGCTCGTTGTAGTCAGATTTACCGTTTGAGTTGTAATTTATGTCAGACTTCGTAACATTTGGACCCTCAGGTAAGAGATAAAGGTAGTCCTCTACGTCAAGCTCTCTATCCTTTTTCGATGAAATTGTCATCACGACGTTTGTGGGTGATGTCGATGACGATAGATCTATCAGGCTACGCATGAAACATAAAAATCGATAAACAAAACCAAAAATATATATGACTAAGTAAATAACATAATTATTTGATATAATTTGTTGTTTGATTATGCAATATGCAAACGTGAGATCTATTCACGCTTTACTTTACTTTCTCTTCGTAACATTGTTCTCGCCAGCATCTGTAGCTGTGGCTTTGGCAGATGGCTCATCCTTCTTGTCTGAAGTCTCTGGGGCATCCTTCTTGACTTGCTTTCCTTTAAGCGCCTGCTCTCGTTAGTAAAATCTCAACCGGGAAGAGTGACATACAGCATTTGGTGCGGCGGAAGTAGCAGCAGTTGTACCACCGATGATACTGATCAAAGTGCCAAGCAAACCTAAGAAAGCAGCGATAGCGGCACCCAAAACACCTGCAACATCCCATCTCTCCTTAAACGCGAGGACCGGATCGGCGTTGAACTTGGCAACGAAATCAATAAGGTTCTTTCTTATAAACGCAAGAGCCTCAAATCCTTCACTCTCGCTAGGATCATGGACTGTGGCTTCGAGAGCTTCCCTCTCTCTCTTCTCCTCTATTGGTTTCTTGATTGCGTAAGTCTCATCTGCGAATGCCTTTGCATCATCTTTGCTATATCCAACGTAGATGTTGTCGAAAAGAATTCCACGTGACATGGTCCATATTTCGAAACCGACACCGCTAATTGGAGTGATGGCCGATGGTTCTTTGTCCTCGAAGTAGGTTGGGTTTGGAATCTTACGTGGTAACCATGGTCCCTTAAAGTCTGGGTTCACGATCATGTCTGGATGCCATTTGCCTCTGTAGTTAGGGTTTGCGATCAATGGCGCCTCCCATTTACCACATCCGACGGTCAAATCGCAATCAGGATTTGGTACGAGCGGTGCGACGAACTCTCCATCCTCATCATCATCCCATTCAGCAGGCTTTTCGGTGCTTGGATCTGGTATAAATGCTTCGACGTCCTCATTCCATCCTGCAGGTTTGGTGGCGTTTGGATCGCGGATTTGCTTTGGAGCATTCTCATCCCAATCATCTGGCTTGGTGGCATTAGGATCTGGGATTACTGCCTCGTCGACCCAATCTGCAGGCTTTGTGTCATGTGGGTCGTCTATTTCGCGCAATGGATTGACTGGTGGAGTGAAGTCTTTGAAGAGAGAGCCCGACTTGACAGATTCGTTGTTGATAAGGATCTCATAGGTATTGTCAGGATTGACGATGAGCGTGTAGAGTGCTGTTGTCTTAGATTGTTTGATTGATGGTGGGTTGTCCAGATGCTTTTCCTCTACCTCGCCGGTCAATGGATTCTTATGTCTTAATATGAAATGGACTTTGTTCGTCATCCCGCATTTGTCTGGACCGAACATGATAGTGTAGGGTGTGTCACTCGTCATGGTGGAATCTTCACCGAAACCTTCGCTGAGTAATTTGATATATGCACCACCACACTCGAGACCCTCCTGGAGCTTAACTTCGTACTGTACGACGAGCGGTTTTTCACCTGCCGGATTGACGATTTCGTCAAAGGTCGATGAAATCGCGTATTTTGCAGCTTTCTGGATTGCTATTAAACCTTTATCATCATCTATTCCAGGGTATACTTCAGGTTCTTTAACGACGAACCTGCTAGAAGCTGGTTGTTTCCATCTAGACTCCCAGTTCTGGTCAAATTGTTCAATAAAAGGTGCTTTTATGTTTGTTGGAGTGTAAGTAGCTGCTTGAGCAATGGCTGCAACACTTGCTATAGCTATCGCTGCGTTTGTTTTCATTTGATGATGGAAGTTGTCGTGAAATGTTATGACGTGACGTGGCGGCGATAAAATAATGGTCTGTCGGCAGGTTGAAGGATAGCTGATTTGATTATTCTATAAGTATTGTAAACTAACAGTTGTCAACGTGCCTTCCCTAAGTTGTTGATATCCTAATCGTCGCGTACCTTCTAGAAGATATCTTATAGGATTATCTGTCTGGATATTCTAGGCAATAATATGTGATATTTCTATTAAACATCACATTGAAACCACAATTTCATAATTCAACTGCTCTTACATCACAACTTTCAGAACATAATAATGGGTCATCCAAGCGATAATATCATTACGGACGCAATAGTTATCGGTTCCGGTGTGTCATCATCTAGTACAACATACTCTCCTCTTAAAAGCTATAGGTTTTGCAGGCGCTATTCTCGCTCGAAAGCTCGCAAAACAAGGTCGCTCAGTTATTGTAATAGAATCCAGGGAGAGACTTGGTGGTAGAACCAACACTATAAGACTGTGGGTAGTAGCCCTTGCTGAATTAGCGTACACTGACGACACCCAGTGGGGACCACGATATTGATGCTGGATGTTCATTTATACATGGCTACTCAGACAGCCATCCACTTGCTACACTCTCAAAGGAGCTCGCTGTTGACGTACAAATAGCTGGTCCAAAAGAAAGTACCGACGTTGGTTCCGTCATAATCGGCAAACGTGGTCCATTGGATACTGGCTTACAGAAACAAATACAAGACGCTTTGGGTAAAGCAGTAGACACCGCTAAAGCTAGCAATGAGAATAGACCATTAGCTGATGTTATCGACGCATCACTCAACGAGACTCTCCAAGGTGAGACACTCGCAATAGCAAAGGAATATGTTGGCTCCTTAGACGCACCACTTGGTTTACCAGTCAACGAAATCACTGACGTTAGTCGATTTGGTTGGGAAAAAGGTTTAGATGGGTGCGTAATGTATGTTTAATGATTTATCACTGACATTGCATCAGTGTGGATGCTGTTGTCACTCGCGGCTACTCACACCTCATGTCTAGAATCTGGGAAGATGCCCTCGCCACTGACAAAGTCAGAATTTATTATGACCATAGAGTTGTCTCACTTTCCACAAAGGATAAAGTGAAAAGCATCATATCTACACATCGCGGTCAATTTGAAGCTAAAGTCGTCGTTTGTACAGTTCCATTAGCAACCCTCCAGAATCCAAAGACGGCTATTGAATTCCACCCAGAGTTGTCCAAAGAGAAACAAGAAGCTATCAAATCGACACCAGTAGGATTGCTCGAGAAATTGATCTACACATACGACGATTACTGGTGGAGATCATCATACAAGACTGGCGGTTTTGCTATCTTGCCAACCAAGAAGAGCTTCACTTCCGCAAAGGAAATCTTAGAGAGTCACGTATTGAACGTCCAGACATTCCCAAATCATCCAAGTTTGCTTATATTCTTGCCAGCTGGTGCAATTCGCCTTCTGAAATGCTACTCTCGCCAAGAAGTTGAAGAGGCTGGTGCAGAAGTTCTCGCTGAGAGACTTGGTGGTGTAAAGGCACGTAAAGCTTATTCTACAAGCTGGTTGAAGGAACAAGATACCAATGGCGCAACTAGCACATATGCATCACCAGAACATCTCAAGGCACTTCAACAAGCTACAGATGATGACAGACTCGCTTTTGCTGGTGAGCACACTGAGATTGACAACCATGGTTCTGTCAATGGAGCAGTCCTCAGCGGGTTGAGAGAAGCTGAGCGCGTAGAAAGATATTTACAGAAGAGAGCTAGTGAACCATGGACAGGACACTAAATAAATTGTATAAAGTAGTGATGCAAATTATATTTCTATCTTCTGTTGTTACAATTAAACACGATGCAAAAGTGTTATCTAGCCACCAAGGCCATAATTTTTTAGTGTCCGTCTGATATCCTTGATACCTTTCAATGGACCTTGGGCGACTACAGTTGGTTCACCGCTACCTTTACCATTGTTGAGATCACCTTTCTCTGGTCTGAGAATACGGATAGCAACTCTACGAATTGTTTCCAAATCGACATGATCAATCTTTTCGCACATCTCTTCAATTGAAACTCTTCTATCATTTATTTGCACTTGTCTACCAAGGTCTTCAACTTGTACGAGTCTGCTTTCTAATGCCATCATCAAGCTACTCTTCAATTGGTTTTTAGATCTATCTAATTCCACTTGGTTTATTCCACCGAGGTATGGAGGTAATGTCAATAAAGTGAGTTCTCTTGCGAGAATATCGACGATTTTAGAGTTGTAGCCTGGTAATACGACTGCACTGATACCAAACAGACCTGAGTCTGCATAACAATGATGGAAAGAAGCGCAATAATCGACCGCATAGTGGTAGTTGAGTACGTGTGTGTAACATCTACTGTACATTCCTTTACCTGGACCGCCTAAATTTATTTGTCAGTAAGAATCTTAGAAAAAAGTGTCAAGACGGACCAGCTGAGAAGCTTCCACCACCACCTAAAAGCATCTGTAAAACGGCGGTTGCGTAGACATCATCATCGTCAATACCAATACCTTCAAAAGCGATGTAAATGTGAGTCATATCTTGAGTGTTGTCTTCTATATATAAATCACCGCCGGTGTAAGTGGCAGACTTATTTGCGTTTTCTTGATCTAAAGGTGTGAGAGCTTTCATATCACCGAAATGTTTCTCTGAGAGTTCTACAAGTTGGTTGTGGTCAATACCACATCCTGCAATGACTATCCTATCAGGTCTGAACCAATCGTTGAGGTAATTCTGGACCAAAGTTGGCGTAATTTCATTCAAACGCTCTTCTGGACATAAGAGGGGGTTTCCTAGAGTGTTGTTCTTGTATGCTGTGTGGTGTACGAGTTCTGGGAGGATCATGTCTGGTTTACTGTAGATTTCTTTGATCTCCCAGAAAGCAGATTGGCGCTGAAAGTCGAGTTCCTCTTCACTGAGGTTTGGATTCCTGATTGTATCACTGAGAATATCCATAGCTGCTGATAAATCTTTCTTGAAAATCGCCGATTGGTACATGATGGTCTCCCTACTGCTGCTACACATGAACTGACCACCAAGAGCTGTAATCTGGTTTGAAATAGTCTCTTCGTCTCTATTCTGGGTTGATTTAAAGGCTAACTTGTCTATTATGTGAGATATACCCGAGTACTCTGGTTTCTCTATTCTACTACCAGCGTGGAGGTAAACACCAAGGGAGTTGAAGTGTCCAGCCGCTGGATCTGAAGCGACTCTAATCTTATTAGGCAGCGTTGTGAGCTGCGAAGACCTCCTTATCAAGCTTTGTAACATCGTCGTAATAAAGAAAGAGAGAAGACATCAATTTAAGTAATTTACATGAATTTTCCCCATAAAACTATTAAAATCAGTAAAACTAGTATTCCTATTATAAGCCAAGTCACAGCTTTCTGCTTGATTGAGTGTCTCCACATTTTCTTCAATGTTCTCATTGATCTGTCGATACCTGGGGGCTATGAGTATATGAATTACTATAAACACACTCGACTAACCTGTGTCAGCTTCACCGAGCGTGTTGTGCGTGTTCTCGATCTGCTCCCTCTGTTGACGGAGGTTACGTAATATCTCAGCACCAACGTCCTCGGTATCGAGTGCGATTCTGTGACTATTCTCTAACCTCGCATTAGTGTTATCCATCCTGTCGGCATCGAGTAGTAAATCTTGGCGTTCTTGCTGGTCGTCATAGTAAGGGGAATCTGAGCTCCCAGCTAGCAATTCATGTCTATCTGAGCTATCTAGAAGGCGTCCAGTCTCATCCTTGAGCTTTGATAGTGTAGATTTGTTGCTTCTGAGCTTAGATTGATAGTGATCCTTGAATTCGGCAGCGAGTGAAGGTATCTCGAATTCAATTTGCGTGAGTATATCGTCAGCCTCGTTCAACTCATTCTGGAGCCATCTCAGCGTTGATTTCCTCTCGACTGTTCCGGTCTTAGCGATATTATGACAACAGCGCTATACTCACGGCCAGACTGCGCACTAATATCCGTATAGAGCTTATTAGATACTGTGTCTATTATATTCTCATAGTCTAAGAAATAGTTATCAATCAACTCTACACTCGTCATCGTCGACGTTTATAAGAAAGAAATTATTTATAAATTGGTTCGTTTATTTTCAATATTTCCTTAAATACTTTGCTGCTGTCTGCGTCGTGTACTGCTCTCCACATGTGTCCACCAACTACGCGTCCATTCATGCTCTCTACGTACTTCCTGCTATCAAATCCATGTCTCTCAACGTCACTTGGTTGAATTTCGTTAGTTTGTTCAACTAATAACACTGTATATCTGTGGTACTTTGTCCCTTGGGCTGGGTGTGGTGGTATCCATCCCACTGTCGCACTTTCCAGTTGCTTTTCGAGCTCCTCCTTTGTTGTATTAGCTGATAGCTTTAAGTTTGACTTCAAGAAGTGAAGGTAGTTCGTGTACTTCTCGTTATCAGCATCTGGTACATCTTTATGTCTTGTTAGTGTGCCTCATAGTAAAATGATAATTCAACCCACCCGGATCAACAATCAAAAGTGAGTAAAGTGACTCTCTACCATCGAATATTTTAATATCGATTGATGGTTTATCAAACGACAATCCCGGTCTAACAAATGAACCGGCTATGACTGGTCTTACTGCACTTTCGCCTTCCGCTTGTTCGTCTTTAGGGAAATCAAGGACCAGTTCAACGCTAGGCGTAAATGGAGGTACAACGTCTGGTACAACGTTCATCTGATGCAGTCTTTCGAGCAGTTTATCCTTTCTGCCCCCTCTAAGGAAGTCCTTCTCTGCCAAATATCTGTAATATGGCTTTGACATATCAACTAAGGGTGTGTTAGTAGAGTATCGCTATGAAACTAACAAACGTACCATTTCCATTCTCAAAGTTGTATCTTACTTCCGGATCGTTGCTTCCTTCGAGGATCTCAAGCAACTTTATGCGTTTCTCATATTCCTTCTGATCAACAGCATTTCTCTCTCTCTTATCAGATCTCAGCTGCTGAAGTTCTCTTTGTACTCTCTTCTTATCCTCAGCCAAAACCTCTAGAGCGAGATCGTAAACTGGTAATTTACCAGCTGGAATTGGACGCTGGTAGTTTCTACAAGTCTGGGTCTGGTAGTTTATGAGCAATTTCCTACTACTCCCATTATACCCACAATTCTCTTATCTAATCCCCTCTTAATCGTCCTCGTCAACATCGTCTTCTTCGTTGTTAAAAATCAAGAAATAAAAGCAATTATTATCTAATAATTCATTACATAATCTAAAAACTTTACTTATTTCCTTTGTTATTCCCTCTTTGTCTGCTTTCTTGCGATTTTCCCCCTCGGCCTCTACCTCGACTTTTGCCGCGAGTTCCCCTATCGCGTTTGTCGGGCACGTACAATCCCATTGCTTCTTTCGTCCTTCTCTCTTCCTCTTCCCACCATTTCAAGAATGCTTGCTCTTCTTCTCTCTCCTTCTCCTCGTTCTGGATTTCAATCATAGACTTCTTCTTGGTAGTCGATGCAGATTGGGAGGACAATCCTAGCTGCTCGATTTGTATAGCCTCGAAAGAATTATCCGCAAGACTGGTGCTTAAGGCCACCTCGGGTGTTGCTACCGGTGGACTAGCAAATGCAGGTGCTTGTGACCAAGCATTACCACTTCTGGCTATCGTTAGTAACCTAAATTGAAAGAAATTACACTCACTGTGATGATATTTTCTTTCCTTTCTCACGTGTCGGAACGATAACATCCGTTCTAGGAGGCTTGCTGATCTGCTGTGACGAACTTGGCGAGTTGCCAACATTGCTGGCGACATTCCATGCAGATGTCCGTCTCTCAGGCACTCTCCACGCGGGCGTGCTACTGCCTGGAGAAGCAGATACAGACACTTTCTCCTGTCTCTCCCTTTCTTGCTGCAACCTTCTCTTCTCCTTTTGTGACAGTTTGCCAATCCCGAACCCAGCACCCGCTAATGGCGACTGACTGTAGGTCTTTACTGGCGTATTTGCAGCTTCAGATTCAACAATTGACCTGAAATCGTGCACTTTTGCACTCTCCGTACTACCAACTTGGTTTTGCCAAGGGGATGGCCCACCACGAGATCCTACTCCCGAGGCTGGTGTGCCGGGCGTATTTGTCATCGGTTTATCGTCATCCATGTCAAATATATCATCAATTGGCGGTATGTTGGCCGTAGATGTCAGACTCAAGGGTGCGATATCAGGCGTAACTGGTGGACTGGCGTGTGCTCTAAGCGCATTAGTAGGTGACATAATCAACGACCTTCCGTAACTACTTGGACCAAATTTAGGTGAACGTGAACTAGTTTTATTCCAATACTTTATGTGCGTTTGTAAGATAGGTTGAGGTATATCCTGATCATTGAGCCATTCTCGGTTACTTTCGACCATGACATCTAGGAGTGCTTGGTATACTTGTCTAATCGGTGAATGCTCATCTTGACGTTTACGAATGTGACCGTTCAAAACATTCAAGAGTTCATCCGAGAGATCGTCCAATGCGTGTTTTTCTAAAGCTGATTCAAGCTGTGTAGTCAAGTCTTCCATTATGCTATCAACTAATTCATGGCACTCTAGATAATTGGCTCTTTCTGCTATATCTTGAGCGGTGTTGAGCGTTATGAATGGCCTAATTGTAGCCGCACATATCAACTTCATTTTATCGATCATTAACTCGTTCGCGTATTGGAGAACTTCGAAAATAATATCGATATATTCCTTCGCATGGCCAGCGGCGACATCTGCAAACACTGTAGACTCTGTATGACCATAGATATATTTAGTAATGTAGGTGAATATCTCTAAGCGCATGTTTGACAAATCGATATCTATCAATTCGTTGCCACTACGGCGATCTATTGTCCAAATATTATCATTAAACATCGCACTGAAAAATCCAATTCGTGACTTCAAAAGTACGGAGTCGACAATGATAGACTTATTTTCCATGAAGTTCAGCCTTACGTCGCCAGTAGGTACACCACTTTTGAGTCTCTCTTGAAGATCATTATGTAACGTTTTCGGCACATCGCGTACCACTAGCCTATCTAAATATGGTTCGAGAGTTGACATCTTAAGGGCCTTGGATAGCACCTTGAGTGTGTCCCTCACTATGACTACTTGATCATGAGGGATTAACTCTCTTAATGATGGTTCTATTCTTGGATCCCAGATAGGCAGTAGCGAATCTGTGTAGATATACTTATTAAGTATAAATAAGGCAAGGGGATGTGAGAGTTCATCGTGAAACCGTAAGATATTTTTATCAACGTTGAATCCATTTGGAATGTGATTGTTCACTTCTGTCCCCTCGATGAGAGTCCTAAGAATAGGAGAACGCGCTGCATATATCGCTTTATGAATGGGTATGACTCCTCCATCATTAAGGAGAAGCTTCATGTCGAAGGCACCAACGTGGGTGTCAGAGTAGTCGACATCGACATTGTCCCTTGACTGAGAAATCTTTTGGAAATATTTCTTACATTCCAATATCTTTTCTCCGACGTCGTCATCTTCATCTTCAGGATGGCTATCGTCATCGTCGATTTCGACATGAACCTTGCCCTCAACTTGAAGATCAACTTCTTCATCACCATGTCCCAAATACATATTTTTCTCGATTTCACTTCCGATCGTGCACCCGCCTGAGAATATTTGATGGTGGCTAGGTGGATTTCTCAAGGCCGCAAATGCGCCCGAATCGCTGGTGTAGACTGTGCTAACACGATGGAGGTATGGTATACGAGAGAATTTCGATGATTTAACTTTGCTATTTTCCTTCCATCCAGATGGGATTGACTCAAGCGTTGTCTTTGCGTTTTTTATGAATACGCTACCGGCTTGTGTGCATAGTATGACAGTTCCATTAGGACCAACATCAAAATCCTTGTAATCTTTGTTAACTAAATTGTAATGATATAGGAGCCACTCACTCTAACTGCCGTATAACGATTCCTGAAAGTCCACACTTTCTGTGGTTTAATCGTAGTAGTTGCTTCATTTGGTGACGCAAATACAAATACCTCGCCCAATGATGATAATGCACCAATAGTGTTTGATGAGCATTTTACCTTCGTGATCGTCGGTTTGATATTAGCAGCACTTGCTTTAATTTTGTCAGATTTGAAATGTGTGAAATTCACTTTGATGTAGGCGTTGTTGTAAAAGCATATTAGATCGCCATTTTCGAGCAACACACCCATGCTCCTATCCGATATTACGACGTCGATAACATTCTGTTTAATGGATGTCACCTTACGCGGTGCGCTCTGCACAGGCGTAGAATTTTGGTCGTATCCTGTTATAATCAGGATAAATTACTATGCTAACATCATACACTTACCTAAATGACCCTCATTGGTTCCCCATGTGAACAAACTGTCGGCTTTCCAGCATGCACTGGCAGTTTTACCAGCTGAAATGCCCTCCATCACTTCTCTCTTCAGCACACCGACAATTCTCTTCGGTGTAGTTTGGAAAGGATCACTTGTACTAGCAAATTTAGCGTGTTGGGATACCGGTGCATCAACTGAGTATCCCAACTGCTGGTATTTATTTGAACCAAATGAATACACATGACCTTCTGTGGATATAAGAAGACTGTGATCAGGGCCTAAAGCCATATCGGCCACTTTGAATGGTAGAGATGGTGAAACAGTATCGAAAGTATGCTGAGTATGTACCGACCGACCAAGCCTGCCGTTGTTACCAAAACCACAAAAACGTATATTGTTATACTCCTCGTCTGTCATAATACCTACTTCATGTTACGACTAAAGGTCAAATGAGTCATCATAACACACCTGTATGGTTTTTTGACATAAAGACCTTCTTTATGTCGAGATACCTAAACATTTCTTGACCGATAAGTTCATCTTGATTCTGTCTTTCGACAGATATACGTTCTGGGAGTTGGCGATCGTTGCCATGTGTGTTACCTAATACGTAATTCCGGTTAGCACCCCAAGTGTACAATTCTGAACGTGCAGAATGATGTGGGTCTGGATATGCATCATCTACAGTTAGATTGTAGAGATCGAAGGCTGTATAACCTTCCCTGTCCTTTATGGAGAGATCGACATCATCTCTTGATAACAGAAGTCTGACGAAACCGAGAGATGCGGCTGGAGATTGTTAGATGAAACTATACGCGTGTACGCCGACTAACAATATATTCCTCTGTGCAGCGCTGTCCAGCCAGATTCAGCATCTTGGAGATTTACGTTGATATTGACCTGTGAAAGTGCAGACTTTGCAAATTCTAATTGCCTATTATCCTCCATTGTCGCTATCAAATGCAAAACTGTCCTGCCCCTCTCATCTCTCATATTGACGTCGTAACGCTGTTCGGTAGACGACTGCCAGGATTTGCTCAGTGAGGACGGTTTAGTAGAAGTCTCTAAAGCATTCTTGAAATTGTTGATATCCTTCTGTAGAAGGTAGTAGAATAGCGGATTCATATACTAGCCACAGCTGACTGGTCGCTCAAACTTGGCTGAGCGATAGTAATTTCAAATACCTGGATTTGTTAGGTGGACCAGAGATAGTTTTATTTCTCACTCTTTCTTAGTACTTGAAATATGTGTATCTATGATGATGTTACAAAACAAACGTTGGCTTGAGGGAATAAAATTTAGTGTTCAGAACTGTCGAATATCGTCTCTGGATGCTGCCTCTGGGTCTCTTCGAGCGATATCCTCTCGTATTGCTGCATTTCTGCGTCTTTGTTATTGTCTGTCTTGCTACCATCCTGGGTGAGATGCCTGTACAGGTTTATATTCGTAGTGACTAGCAAGTAAAGCAGGAAGGATAACGAGAATATCACCATCGCATATGTTGCATGGTCGAAGTTGTTCCTGTCTGCAAGTCTGAGCTCTTCATCTGTTGCACTCATGAACAACGATCCGGATAATATCAGAAGATATGGTGGGAGATGCTGGAAAGTGCGCAAATTAGATGACTCCTCTTTGTTGCTTATAAAGCAGATGTCTATGATTCGCGTAACACCTGCTGTCATCAACGTATATCCAAAAATAGCGTGGACCTGTAAGGCATCAGGCTATATCTATTACAGGCTATTGCACTTACCTTTGTACTTATTTCCAATGCCTGTTCGTGTGCGCTCATTACATATCCTGTCATTATGATGATTCCAGCTGGTATAATCGACCTGTTACCCTTGCGCGACATGAACATTCCTAAAGCACCACCGCTCCACCATAGGACACCTAACATTGTGTGCTGAAGATCCTTGTGTGTCCATGGACCTCCGTGATGCTCAGTGAAGGTATTGACTATACCCCAGAGCATGATAACCGTCGAATCGACAAACTCCTGACTACTTCCTTTGGATATAAGTGATTGTGCACCAATATGGAGTAACACAGCGTATATGATACCGTATCCAATGAAAGCAGAACCCATAATGTAGTGCGCCAAGCACTGACCAAGCGCACCACCCCTACAGAAAGAGCCTACGGTAGCTATACCGAATACGACCTGCACCCATCCAACTATTGGGAATGTTTTGCCTGTGATTCCGTGCAGCTTCACAACCCAAGCTCTCAACTTAGTGTCTTCCATGATATGTAACTTGAGAAAGATACCCATAGCGGCCTGAGCAACCATGTATGGTACAATAATCCCTGCCATTGTAGAATGCACGGACGATGGGAATTGTCGACCCTTGTGCTTCATTCCGCTAAGATAACCAAGGCATCCTGTCACAAGCATAGCTGCACTCTGTACAGGTACATGCCACCTAGAACGGCTAGATCCGAGTATCATACCTATTGGGAAGATGACCAGCCATATCAGTACCTGTGTGATAATGTGCAAATAAATGACCCAATCAAGAGGCATCTTATTCATTTCTGATCCTTCTTCTGCGTGTCCATGCCCTGCGTGTGCAGCTGCAAGTGTTAATATTCCCGCTATTCCTGCGGCCGTATTACGCATTCTCATGATGATCGACGTTGATGTTCAAATGACTTTTCATCGAGAAGTAGCGCGGAATGTGACAAATTACATATTTATCTTATGAAATCTCTATTATTTATACAAAATATCCTAACGAAATGCTCTATATGTGTCCTTATGATGTTCCTTTTTCTTTCTCCTGCTTCTCGTACGATTCAGTAGCAGCAGCGGCAGTAATCTGACTAGATCCCTCTATGTCAGTCTGCTTCTCTTTATCATCTTGTTTCTCCTTATCTTCCTCCTGCGTTTCACCTTGTTTGACGTTTTTGACTTCCATCGAGTATCTTTTGATAAAGAGGGACGTAATTAATCCAACTCCTATTAAGGCAACTACTACGATGAATATTGTTGCTATTGCTTCAGAGTATGCCTGCTGTATCTCAAGTTTGAGCTCGACGGGCTCAATATCTTTGATCCCAGTCAGATCTTCAGTGCTAGATGAAGCCATCGCGCCAGCATCTGGTATATTCGCAAGCTTCTTCTTTGTCAAATTACTCATAATTGTACCTCCAACAGATATTGCAACCGTTCCGGCCATAGAACGCACAAACACGTATGCACCTGTAGACAAACCCATATCAGCAAGCGGCACGGCAGCTTGAAGAGCAAGTAGAGGTGTTTGGAAGAGTCCACCAACACCAAATGCTGTTACTAAGAGGTACAATACCTGCTTAGCGCGATTTGAATCTCGTTCGAGGGTTGTGATCAAAGCGTATCCCACAATTTGAACAGCCCAACTACACCAAATAATCGGTCTATATCTTTTATACCGAGCGACTAAGAAACCAGAAAGTACTGAGGTAATACTTGATCCTAAGGAGAATGGAAGCAATTCGACTCCTGCCAATGTAGGACTTGATTCATTCGCAACCTGGAAATATAATGGTAAGTAATACGACCCGTTGAAAAATCCAAAAGCGTGAAAGAAAGTACCGAAGAGGATTGATGAAGTTGTGAGCGTTTTGAAAAGACGTGGTGGAATTATTTGTGATTTGGTTGTATATGTTTCCCATACTCCAGCAAAAAGGAGTACAACACCTCCTACAACAATGAGTGCTATAACTGCTGGGTTTTTCCATGTGGATGAGGATGCGACTGAGAAGCCTACGATGATGCAAATAGCAGCTGTCAATATAGACAATAGTCCTATATAATCGAACTGCTTCAGCACTTCTTTGTACGGTGGTCTCTCTTTAGGATTGAGTTTGAGGAATACGATTAAGGCTATCAGGACTACCCCTCCTATTGGTAAATTGATAAAAAAGCACCAATTCCAATTGACATGCTCAGTAAATGCACCACCAACTAGTGGTCCTATCAACGATGCAACACCCCAGACACTACCTATTAATCCGGAAAACTTCCCCCTACTTTGTAGTGGTGTGATTAAAGATATGATAATTTGTACCGAGGCCATTATAGTACCGCCTCCTAGACCTTGAACGCCTCTCGCCGTACATAACCATATCATAGATTTCGCACCACCACATAAACCAGATCCGAGTAAGAATACCACAATTCCAACAAGAAAAATGATCTTCTCTCCTACTATATTTCCTAACTTAGATACTACCGGTATCATAGCGGTCGATGTAAGCATGTATGCAACACCAACCCATGAGTATTCCGCTTCGGACGCATGTAATTCATCTGAAATCGTCGCTAGAGCGGTACTCACGATGGTTTGGTCCATCGCGGACAAGAATACGGCCCCCATGATACATGGAAAGACGATCCACATGTTGTTATCTGGAATCTGTGGCTAGAGTCAGATTAGATGATAGAGACGCTAGAATACACACCTCATGTGCTTTTTCGTTCTCTCTCCATTGCCCCCTTACAGCTTTCTTTTGCTTTTCATCATCTTTAGTTGAACTCATCTTATCAAGATCCCGGATTAGTAATCTGACGATTCTGAATGAATGAAGATATATGGATTAATTACTATATGGATCGGTTATTGTAATTGTCCGGGTTATCGCTTTAAGCTGTTTATAGTAGATGATAGTAGTTAGAAAGAATTTTCCGGTCATAATAGCGGCGACGGAGTTAGCACGTAACTTTGTGTTATTATTAGAACAAATAAATTACTTTCCTGGAATAGTTTGAAGCAAAAACATAATATATTATAATGAAATTGTATTCATGTGTTGCTTGGGTAAAGTACAAAAACATAGTGTGAAAAAGTTCACGATTAATTTACATGCGCATATCCATAGATGTGTATAATGATATTGAAACGTCTATTGACCGAAACCATAAAGGATTCTTCCTTGTCTCTTGAGTGCATAGACAACATCGAGAGCGGTGACAGTCTTTCTCTTGGCGTGTTCAGTGTAGGTGACTGAGTCACGAATGACATTTTCCAAGAAGACCTTGAGAACACCACGGGTTTCTTCGTAGATCAAACCGGAAATACGCTTGACACCACCACGACGAGCGAGACGACGAATAGCTGGTTTGGTAATACCCTAAGGAGTTATTAGAAAAGGTTGCTATAACATAGCTAAGAAACTTACTTGGATGTTATCTCTGAGAATCTTACGGTGACGCTTAGCACCACCCTTTCCGAGACCTTTACCGCCTTTTCCTCTTCCTGACATTTTTACTTGACTAGTTGATTGATGAGAGAAAAGAGCAAAACGCGTTGAGTATTTATAGATGTGGAGCGCGCGCTAAAAGATCAAAAATCGATCAGATCAAATTTGGTTTTTGATATAAATCGCGTGATCCTCGATGGAATTAGGGAAAATAGTGAATGAAAAATATACCACTTGATAGGTAAAAATCCTGGCTACATTTTTATATAATTTTTGTACCTTCACCGCCTCAGGATCACCGTCCGCACGATTTAGATCAATTCGCGTCTGATCT